TCTCAGCTGGCCCCGAGGTTTTTGGGTCCTGGAGCCATGAGTTTCAAAAGGAAATGTGCACATTTGTGGGGAGAAAATTCCAGGGAGGGCTATTAAGTGTCTGACTCAAAGGTCACGAGCTGCAAATAACCAGGGAGAGCAATCAGAGGAAGCAGCTCGCCCTGATCTGTCTCCCCAGGCCTGATGTGGAGCTCGTTTCTAGGCTCCAGCAGAGAAAATTCCCATTTTTGTGTTTGGAATGCCTAAATAACTGCTCTGCTCACAGGTGCAGGGCATGGTTGGGTGTGTGGCTGAATCCTGGTTCATGCCTTTGGTTGTGGGAAGGGTTTTGTGCTGCTCTGGTGGCTTTGCCAAACTTTAATCATCGTCTGTCTCAATTTTTTTTTTCTGGAAACTTTCTGCAGAAGGAAGTTTGCAAGAATCAGAGCAGAAAAATTTGGGTTTACCCTGGTGGAAAAACTCTCAGGGGGCTTTTCTTGGAGCAGCATCCGCCTCGTCTCGTTTTGGAGCAGGAATTTGCTGTCTGGTGGGGAGGGGAGGGATCCACCCACATCTGGCTGAGGCGTAAAGCCCCTGAAACTCCCACTCCATGAGCTCCAGAAAGAGTTATCAGAACTTGGCACGCGGCTGCTCCAAACATTACATCTTCCCTGAGCATCATCTGCTCTCTTATGGCTCCTGCGGGACGTGGCCGGCGCTCTCTCCGTGCGGGGATAGCTGAGGTGGTGCAGGGCTTTCCCTGGAGCAGCTTTCCCTGGAGCAGCTTTCCCTGGAGCTGCTCTCCCTGGAGCTCCCACCCTTGGATCTCCCACCCCTGGATCTCTGTGCCAAGGAGAGGAAAGAGGAAAATGCCCCAAACGCTGGGATTTTGTGGCATCCTGTGAGGAAACCCCTCGGGGACACACGAGATGGAGGTAGGGGACAAAGGGATGCCTGGGCACGTGTTGGGGGTCCCCACTGTCCCCCCAGAAGCTGGGCTGGGTGGGTTTGGTGATTTTTCTCTGTCGTTCCGGGGAGCAGAGTTGGGTCCCTAATTAAAGCCGGCGCCCCGGGGCCCGGCAGGGTTAAACGAGGCACCCCAGCTCCGGGATTTCCTATTTCTCCCTTTGTGATCTTCGTGTTCTTTCAACACGGCCCTTTTGGTGTGGTTTCCTATTTAAGTGTTTTTAATTTGAGCGAGCTCCCTCCAGCTCATTCCTGCTCCTTGTGCAGGGCTCTGGAGAAGACCTTTTCCCTTTTATTTAGAGAGGAATGTTTTTAATCACCCGCATTCTTCAACCCGCCTGAACTCTGAACCTTTCACAGCAGATCAGCAAAAGATGGGAAACGCTTTTATAAAGGAAGATGGTTTATTGGAAAAACCCAGCCTGGGTTTAACTGCTGCTCCACCTCAGGGTGAGCTGTGGGCAGGCAGGGATGAGGGAAGGGATTAGGGCAGGGATAGACAGGGATACAGGTGGGGATAAACAGGGATACGGGTGAGGATAAACAGGGATACAGGTGGGCATGATGGCAGGGATAGACTGGGATTCAGGCAGGGATAAGGGCAGGGATAAACAGGGATACAGGTGGGGATAAACAGGGATGCAGGTGGGGATAAGGGTGGGGATAAACAGGGATGCAGGCAGAGGTGCAGGCAGGGATGCACAGAACAGCAGAGCTGCGATGCCACTGCTTTGCTCCTCAGTGACCTTCCTGCCCTGCTTTGTTTGCCTCTTGCTTTATTTCCCTCTTATGTAAGCCCAGCTCTGTGGACGGCTGATTTGCCTCTTTAAAAACAATCAGGAAATGCCAAAGCAAAGATTTCTGTGCTGGATTTTTTTGCTTTCCCGGGATGGCTGGCTGGGAGCAGCGCGGTGGTGTCCAAGTGACACCGACCCAGCACTGCCACCCTCAGCCTGGGCAACTTGCTGCCTCCAAATTCCCTCTGTCCCAAAGCTCCTCAGCAGTCTGGGAGGTGCTGCAGGGCAAAGTGGGGCTGCCCAGCGTGCCCTGGCTGTCCCGGCCCTCCCTCTGTGTCTGTCCCACCTCGTGGCTGAGCCCGTGGCCCCTCGGCTGCGTTCCCTGCTCCGTTCCGTGCCGGCAGCCTGGAAAATGCTGGTAAGGCCGGAGCACAGAGCCCTCATTCATGCCCGGCCGCGGCTTTCCCAGGCGCTGCGGGGAGACTCCGTGTCACAGCCTCCCCTTCCCACGGAGGATCCACGGGCTGGGCCTGCAGCTGCCGGCACAGGGATGGTTTGTGTGATGGGCTCCTGGCCCGCGGCTGTCCCCGTCCCAAACTGTGATCCCAGACTGTGATCCCAGTCCCAGACTGTGATCCCGGCCCTAAACTGTGATCCCAGCCTGTGATCCCAGTCCCAGACTGTGATCCTGGCCCTAAACTGTGATCCCAGTCCCAGACGGTGATCCCAGTCCCAGACGGTGATCCCAGTCCCAAACTGTGCCTCCCAGTCCCAAACTCTGCATCCCAGTCCCAAATTGTGCCTCCCAGTCCCAAACTCTGCATCCCAGTCCCAAATTGTGCCTCCCAGTCCCAAACTCTGCATCCCAGTCCCAAATTGTGCCTCCCAGTCCCAAACTCTGCATCCCAGTCCCAAATTGTGCCTCCCAGTCCCAAACTCTGCATCCCAGTCCCAAATTGTGCCTCCCAGTCCCAGCCATGTGTCCTGCTGCTGGTGGGTCCTGAGGGTCCCCTGGGCAGCAGCAGGACCCAGGCTGGGGTGGGGACAGGGACAAACCCCCAGGAGCCGCGGTGGGACTTCACTTTGGGCTGTTTTGGGGCGGGGGGAAGGGGAGGATCCGCGGGCTTGGCCGCCGGCCCCTGGATCATGCGGGAGGGGGTTGTTTACTGTAGCTCCTGGCCCAGGGCCCGGCAGCAAACCCCAAATGAATTCAAGCTGCACAGGGAGGTCATGAGCAGCTCCCGGGGCAGGAGGGGCTCTGCCAGGGGGGTCCGGAGCTCAGGGTTGTGGAGCATCCCTGAGGAGGTGCCATGTGCAAGGCCCTCACCCCCGAGGGTCCCACGTGGGGACAGCGGCTCCTGCCCAGAGCCCGGGCTTCTCTCCAGTGCCACCAGCCCTCGTCCCGCACCGCCCTGGCACCCAGCACAGACGTTTTGTTTCCCAGCTCTGGAAAACCGCCCTGAGTTTGGTGGCCTCATCCTGGCCAGGAGCACCATGGTTGGGACGCCAGTGTCACCCCGGGGCACGCCAGGCCAGGTCCTGCTCCCAGGGTGCCTCTTCTCATCCCAGCCTCTCTGAAAATCCGCTCGGGCATCCCCAGCGTGGCGTGGGCAGAGCTGGGGGCCGTGGCAGGAGCGGGGCCCACGCAGCCTCTTCTTCCCTGGCTCCAGAGCCTCTTGGCCCTGGGGATGCTCGACAGCTTTTTCCTGGTTCCAGGCGAGCGGTGAGGAGTTGTTTTGTTTTTCTGGCTGCTGCCCGGCCTCCCTCTCCCCCTGCAGCCCCCATCCCTCCCTGCTCCGCTTCCGCCGCCTCACCATTTGTTTTTATAGGGATTGAAACCAATGATGCAGAGAGAGATTCCCAGAGCCCCCACCAGAGCTCCCCCTCGGCTCTGCTCCCTCCTGGGGGTGTCTGGAGCAGCCCCTCCTTCACCTGGGGTGCCCCAGTCCCTTCCCACCCCATTTTTCCCGGGAAGGGGCATCACCAGGCTGTGCTGGGCCACCGTGGGCAGCTCACGCCAAACCCCGGAGCTCCCGTGGGCATTTTTAGGGAGCAGAGAAAGGCTGGGACAGCTCTTGGGGTGCCACCAGCCGTGCCTGGCTGGGCTGCTCCTTCCCCCCGGTGCCCCCATTCCCACTGGAGAGAAGATCCCAAGCACAACCCCCGGTGGCGTCCCCGGCTGTCACACACCCCTGGTGCGGTGACATTTGGCTGCAGAGGGGACAGGGACAGTTCCCGCTGTGCCACCGCTGCTGCCAGCCCTGTTCTGCGTCCTGAGCGGCGAGGGGACAGGAGGGGACACCAGGGGACACCAGGGGACACCAGGGGACAGGAGGGGACACCAGGGGACAAGAAGGAGGGAACAAGAGGGGACAATCCCGCTTGTCACAGCATCCTCTAAAATCATGGATGCTCAGCCCGGTTTTGGGGAGCCCCAAGTCAGGGGCACCTTCCCAAGGCTGGGGTTGCTGATCTCCATCAGCCTCCCTGTCCCGGGGTGCAATTAGAGCCAATTAACTGGCCGCTAATGGAGTGCCAGGCAGTTATCAGGAGATGGAGAGCGGGGTGAGGTTTCCTGGTGGGGTTTTTTCATGGCCTGAGGTCGAGGGTGTTTCTGTGAGGGGGAAATCCTCTGAGGCAGTGGGTGCTCCGTGATCAGTGTAAAAATGGAGCAGTTTTGGGGGTGTAAGGGACGATTTCAGGTGTGTAACTGGCACTGTTTTAGGGGTGTAACTGGCACTGTTTTGGGAGTGTAATGGATAATTTCTGGTGTGTAACTGGCACTGTTTTGGGGGTGTAATTGATAATTTCAGGTGTGTAATGGATAATTTCTGGTGTGTAACTGGCACTGTTTTGGGGCTGTCATTGATAATTTCAGGTGTGTAATGTATAATTTCTGGTGTGTAACTGGCATGTTTTTGGGTGTGTTATGTATAATTTCTGGTGCATAACTGGCACTGTTTGGGGGTGTCATTGATAATTTCAGGTGTGTAATGTATAATTTCTGGTGTGTAACTGGCACTGGTTTGGGGGTGTAATTGATAATTTCAGGTGTGTAATGTATAATTTCTGGTGGGTAACTGGCACTGGTTTGGTGTCCCCACGGGGCTGGGGTTTCACCCCTCAGGGAGGTTGTGCAGGGAACATCTTCACTCCACCAGGACACCCGGCAGAGGCGCCTGCAGCCCCCAGGAGCCTCTCCGGAGGAGTGGGATTCCCAGGAATCTCCTTCCCCAGCTGACGGGGAGGCTCTGCAGGCAGAGGATGCTCCGTGGCAAATCCCCCGTGACGGAGCCGTGTCCCTTTGTGTCCCCGCAGCTGCCGTGACCCCGTGCACCTCCCCGCGGGTGCCCCAGGCCGTGCCCATGGACCTGCGGATCGGGCAGCGCGTGGTCAAGCCCCAGGACACGGCGCTGCTGGCCCTGAAGCAGCAGCAGCTGCAGCACCAGCTCTTCCTGGCCAGCCTGCACCAGCAGCAAGTGGAGCAGCTCGCCCACCAGCACGTCAGGGTATGGGGCAGGGCAGGGGGGCCCACACCCCACTTTTGGCAGGGTTTGGGGCAGGATAGGGCACTTTGGAAGGTGAATTTTGCCCCCAGAGCCCAACAGCGGTGGCAGAATCAGGGCTGGCTTTGAGTTCCCTTCTCTGGGCAGGGATTCAGAGGAAAAGGCTGGAAATCCCAATGCCAAAATGACATTCCCAGGTGAATTCCTGCTTTTCCCTGAGCTGGAACATCTGGAGGGGTTTCCAGCCAGCCCAGGGACCTCTGTGACGCAAGGAGGCTGCTTGGGGAGGCAGGTGGAGGGGTTGTGTCTCAATTCCAGGCCAAATTCCAGGGCTGGAGCCTCCCTGTGTGTCCAGCATGGGCAGAGCAGGAGCCAGAGCAGCCTCAGGGGATCCCTGCGGGCCAGGAGCTGCCCCTGCTCGGTCCAGCTCCTGCCCCACGCAGGGGCACTGCCAGGCTCCACTGGCACAAGGAACCAGCGGGATTTGGTGGGGATGGCTCCTCCAGTCCCGGGGATGGCTCCTCTGGGAGGCTTCAGAGGGAGGCGGGTGGGAGGACACGTCCAGGGAGTTGTCACCGTGTCCAGGGAGCTGTGACCATGTCCAGGGAGTTGTCACCGTGTCCAGAGAGGTCTGGCCACATCCAGGGAGCTGTGACCACCTCCAAGGAGTTGTGACCACCTCCAGGGAGTTGTCACCGTGTCCAGGGAGCTGTGACCATGTCCAGGGAGCTGTGACCATGTCCAGGGAGTTGTGACCATCTTCAGGCACCGAGACCCCCCTGCCTGTCCCCAGGGTTGCTCCAGCAGGAGCCAGTTCCGTGGATCAGCTGGGATTTCCGATCATAGATCTTTTTTTCCTTTTGTACTCAACAAAGACTTTTAATTTTTGCCACATTGCGACACCCAGATGTGTCCAAACACCCTGAGAGGAGGCAGCGAGTGGGAACAGACAGGTTTTGACTTTTACGATGTCCCCGGGGAGAGCAAAGCATCCCTGGAGACCAAAACGCGTCCGGTTTGTTGTGATGGAGCAGTTTCACCGGTTCCCATCAGCCAGGGTGACACCAGGGACTGTCCCAGGCGAGCTCTGTCCCCCGTGTCCCCCTGCCTGGGGCTGGGGGTCCCTGCCCACGTCCCCCCCGGTGTCCCTGTCCCACAGGTGGCCATGGAGTCCCCACACCGCGAGGCTGAGCCGGGCCAGCAGGAGCAGGAGCTGCGGCAGATCCTCAACAAGGACAAGAGCAAGCGCAGTAAGGGCACCAGGGGGGCTTTGGGGAGGGGGCTTGGGGCTTCTGCCCTTACCCAGACCCAGCTCTGCCTTCCCGGGGGGGAATGGGTGGGAGAGCATCCGCAGAGCGGGGCTGCAGACCCCGCTGGGACCCCCGGGCTGGGTTATGGACCCCATTCAGGTGACAGACCCCAGTGGAACCCCCGGGCTGGGTTTGCAGCCCCCCAGACTGGGATTTCAGCCCCCCGGGATGGGTTTTCAGCCCCCCGGACTGGGATTTCAGCCCCCCAGACTGGATTCGCAGCCCCCCAGACTGGGATTTCAGCCCCCCGGACTGGGTTTTCAGCCCCCCGGACTGGGATTTCAGCCCCCCAAAGTGGGTTTGCAGCCCCCCAGACTGGGATTTCAGCCCCCCAGACTGGGATTTCAGCCCCCAGACTGGGATTTCAGCCCCCCAACCTGGGTTTGCAGCCCCCCAGACTGGGATTTCAGCCCCCCAAACTGGGTTTGCAGCCCCCGGGCTGGGGTGCGGCCCCCTCCCAGCCGCGGTCTCTCGGCGCCCTCTGGTGCCGGCGCTGGAGGAGCTGCCAGGGGCTCGCTCCCAATTTTGGGATGCTCAGGGCTCCACATCGCACCTAGTTAATTATTACTTAGTTAACTAACTCGTGCTCGGAGGTGCCGAATGCTGGCACAGATCCGTGGAGCTTCCTGCTGACACAGACAGAAGGGGACGGGGTGGGAGCAGAGCCAGCTGCGCCTCTCGGGGGTCCCCAACCATCCTGGTGTCCTCCTGGAGCCCTGGGGTCGGGGTCCTGCCCGCAGGGACCCTTCAGGAGGGCTCTGAGCCCCCTGGGGTCACCGTGGTCACTCCCACGGTCACCCTGCAGGTGCCGTGGCCAGCACGGTGGTGAAGCAGAAGTTGGCCGAGGTCATCCTGAAGAAGCAACAGGCGGCTCTGGAGAGGACCAGCAACCCCCCCGCTGCAGCCCTGCCCTACAGGTGAAGCATCGGCACCCTCAGCCCCAAAAGGACCTGCCCCTGCCCCAGACCTGCTCGGGGGCAGCTGGGAAGGGGCTCTGGCTTCTCCTGCAGGTCCCTGGAGCCTCTGGAGCCCGAGGGTCCCTCCCCTGCCATGCTCAGCACGTTCCTGTCCCCCGTGCCCAGCACTTCTCTCGACACGCCCGAGCATTTCCCGCTGCGGAAAACAGGTACGGCCTCGGGAATGTCCCTGTGTCCCTCAAGGACTTGGGAATGTCCCCATGTCCCTCAAGGACTTGGGAATGTCCCTGTGTCCTTAAAGACCTTGGGAATGCCTCTGTGTCCCTCAAAGGTTTGGGAATGTCCCTGTGTCCCTCAAAGCCTCGGGAATGTCCCCGTGTCCCTCAAGGACTTGGGAATGTCCCTGTGTCCCCTAAGGATTGGGAATGTCCCTGTGTCCCTCAAGGACTTGGGAATGTCCCCGTGTCCCCGTCTGGAGCTGGGGGTGGCCCCACAGAGCCCCCCCAGGTGTGGCCAGGACTGACCCCTGTCCCCGCAGCCTCCGAGCCCAACCTGAAGGTTCGGTGCAAGCCCAGGAAGTGCCTGGACCGGCGCAAGAACCCCCTGACCCGCAAGGAGAGCGCTCCCCCCTCGCTGAAGAGGCGCCCGCCCGACGCCATCGGTGAGGGGGGGACAGCGGGAGGGGACAGGCAGGACAGGAGAACAAGGAAGGTCCTGTGTCACCTCTGCTTGGGGACAGGGACACCGGGGTTTGGGCTGGGGCAGCATGGGATGGGGGAACTGGGAGGTGCTGGTGTGGGATGGAGGAACTGGGGCATGCTGGTGTGGGATGGGGAGCCTGGAGGTGCTGGTGCAGCTGCTCCTGCTGCTTTTGGGGCCCAGAATGGACCTGCAGGGCTGGAAATGCCCCAGGTCCAGCGTGGAGGATCCCCACCACCAAGTGGTGCCTTCCGAGCGGGATTCAGCCCCAGAAGGGCGCGGGGCCGTGGTTGGAGGGGCTGGGGGGTGGCCGTGCCCTCACCCCCATCCATCCCCTCCCAGACTCGTCCCCCAGCAGCAGCAGCACCCCGGTGTCGGGCTGCAGCTCTCCCAACGACAGTCTGCCCGCCGAGCACGTGGCGCTGCCCACCGCGCCAGGCGTGGCCCACGAGGTGAGCCCCGCCGGTTTTGGGGACCCCTCTGGGGTCAGGGGGAGGGCACGACCCCAGCCCTGAACCCCCCGCCTGGAGCTGCCCCTCCCGGCGTGCTGGGATGCCCTGGAGTGACCTGGGATGCCCTGGGATGCCCTGAGATACCCTGGAATTCCCTGCTCCAGGATGCCCTGGGATACTCTGGGATGCCCTGGGGGTTCCCTGGGATGCCCTGGGGGTTCCCTGGAATGCCCTGGAATTCCTGCTCCGGGATACTCCTCCCAGCCCAGCACTTCTCCCACCCACACCTCTCCTCCCGGGTGCATTTCCCCTCTCCCAGCGCTGTCCTGTGCCATAGGGGGTGTCCCCAGGGCTGTCCCCGATGTCCCTGGTCCTGTCCCTGGCTGGGAGCAGGGCTCTGATGGCTCCTGTGTGCTGCAGACGCCCCTGGCCCAGCGGCTGATGATGCAGGAGAGCTCCCTGGCCCAGTTTGCCCTGCAGAGCGCGGCCTCGCTGCCGGCCATCACCCTGGGCCTGCCGGCCACCACCGGTGCCAGGGTAGGTGGCCGAGCTGTACCCCCAGCGCCGGGTCCCTGTGGGGCTTCCCTTGGGGTTTGGGGCTCCTGGTGCTGCCCATGGGCACAGTGGGGACAATCCTGTGTCCTCCCGGTGCTGCTCCCTGTGACTGACCCTGTCCCTGTCCCATCCCTGTCCCGTCCCTGTCCCCGTCCCCATCCCTGTCTCTGACCCTGTCCCTGACCATGTCCTTGTCCATGCCCCATCCCTGTCCCCATCCTTGTCCCTGTCCCATCCCCATCCCTGTCCCCCTGTCCCTGTCCCTGTCCCCCTGTCCCTGTCCCCCTGTCCCTGTCCCCATGTCCCTGTCCCCGTGTCTCTGTCCCCATGTCCCTGTCCCCGTGTCCCCATGTCCCTGTTCCCATCCCTGTCCCCATGTCCCCGTCCCTGTCCCCATCCCTGTCCCCCTGTCCCTGTCCCATCCCCATGTCCCTGTCCCCATGTCTCTGTCCCCATGTCCCTGCCCCCTGTCCCCATGTCCCTGTCCCTGTCCCCATGTCCCTATTCCCATCCCCGTCCCTGTTCCCGTCCCCATCCCTATCCCCGTGTCCCTGTCCCCCTGTCCCCATGTCTCTGTCCCCATGTCCCTGTCCCCATCCCTGTCCCATCCCCGTCCCGTCCCCGCAGGGCGATGCAGAGCGCCGGGCGCTGCCCGGCCTGGCTCACCGGGTGCCGGTGCTGAACGGGCCGGTGCTCCCGGGCACGCACTCGCCCGTCTTCATCCCGGCCAGCCTGGAGCAGCACGAGGCGGGCAGCGCCCTGTCCCCTCGGCTGCAGCCCGTCATCATCCTCGAGCCCTCGGTCACCCACGCTCCGCTGGTGGCGGGTGAGTGTCCCCGGGGACAGTGGCGGTGACAGCCAGGTGTGGGGACAGCGGCGGTGACAGTGACAGCCAGGCTGGGGGCAGACATATTTATGTTATTAATATAATTCAATATATGATTATCACCATTTATATTATGTTATTTTTAATTTTTATTTTAAAAAAATTATTTAATTTTATTTTTTTTTTTAATATTTCCCAACCTTCCTGCGACACACCGCCTCTGCAGTGCCGGGCCTGGGCACCGTGCCCCTGTCGCTGGCGCCGTCGCTGGTGCCCGCGGAGTGCCTGGCGCTGCCGGGCCAGCACAAACCGCTGGGCAGGACCCGCTCGGAGCCGCTGCCGCCCAGCCCGCGCACCGTGCAGCAGCACCTGCTCTTCCAGCAGCACCACGCGCATTTCCTGCGCCAGCAGCCGCACCTGGGCAAGGTGAGAGCCCGGCGGGGACGGAGGGAAGGGAGAGGGGAAACACCGCTGGGGTATGTTTGTGTCCAGCTGCAAAATGAGAGGGGAAACACCGCCGGGCTGTGTTTGAGAGGGGAAACATCGCTGGGCTGTGTTTGTGTTTGTGTCCAACTGCAAAATGAGAGGGGAAACATCGCCGGGCTGTGTTTGAGAGGGGAAACATCGCTGGGGTATGTTTGTGTCCAGCTGCAAAATGAGAGGGGAAACATCGCCGGGCTGTGTTTGTGTCCAACTACAAAATACTGCTTAAAGTGCTGGAGGAGAAGGTGAAGGAGAAGGAGTAGCCTCTGCCTTAAACTTCTGTTTTTTATTTTATATATAATAGATAATAGACAATAGATAATAGATAATAGATAACATATTATATGTAATCTAATATATATAAAATATATAATATATACACTACATAATATATAATATAGGCTACATAGTATCCCAGCTCCAATATACACTACATAATATATAATTAATATATAATATATCATGTACTTGTTTTTAGTTTCATTTTCCTCTCAACAATGTTTTATTATAATATTTCTAAGTCAGTATTTTTTATGTCCTTATATACAAATATATAAAAATATAAATGTATATATATATATTATACATATATAGACATATATACATACATACATATATATAGACACACAAATAGAAGTTTATGCACAAACATATGCTCGGTGAGCCTTTCGTTAGGCATGAAGAACTCTCTATAAATCCATTTTTGACGGCCCTGCTCGCTGTCCCCGGCGCAGCGCCCGGCCAAGTCCAGCGAGAAGCCCCGGCTGCGGCAGATCCCCTCCTCGGAGGACATGGAGGCCGAGGGGACCCTCCCGGAGGCCGAGCCCGGGGACCCCCCCCGGGCACGGCCGGAGCCCCCCCGGCCCGGCGGCAGCGCCAAGGAGCCCGAGAGGACGCAGAAGATGGGGCAGCCCCCGGAGGAGCTGGTCCTGCAGCAGGTACAGAGGGGTGGGGAGCCCTGGGGACACAGGACCGCGCTGTGCCTTGCCTGGGGACAGGGGCAGAGCTGCGGCCACTGCTGGTGTCAGCACAGCTGGGCACCATCCCCAAATTCCCGGGGCTTGTCCCCAGACTGCTGGGCTCTGTCCCCGAATTGCCGGGGTTTGTCCCCAAATTGCCGGGGCTTGTCCCCAGATTGCCAGGCTGTGTCCCCAAATTGCTGGGCTGTGTCCCATCGCTGCTGTCACTGCGGGGCTGAGCCAGCAAGGAACAGCAGATGCTGGGACAGTCCTGTCCTGCCTTGTCCTGCTTTGTCCTACTTGTCCTGTCCCATTGTGTCCTGTCCTGCCTGTCCTGTCCCATCCTGTCCCATCCTGTCCCATTTTGTCCTGTCCTGTCCCATCCTGTCCTGTCCTGCCTGTCCTGTCCTGCCTGTCCTGTCCCATTTTGCCCTGTCCTGCTGGTCCTGTCCTGTCCCATCTTGTCCTGCCTGTCCTGTCCCATCCTGTCCTGTCCCATCCCATCCTGTCTTCTCTGTCCCCTCCTGTCCCATCCTGTCCCCTCCTGTCCCATCCTGTCCTGTCCCATCCCATCCTGTGCTGTCCCAGCTCCGAGCGTGGAGCAGTGCTGGATCCAGCCCTGCACAGGCCGAGCAGGGCTCTGTCCCCTGTCCCCCGTGCTGGGGACGCTGGCCTGTCCCCTGAGGGTGTCCTGTGTCCCCAGGCCCTGCTCTGGGACTCCTTCCAGCGGGTGCAGCAGCAGCTCCTCAAGCGCCAGCCCTTGGCCGACCCCCCCGTGCTCCCCCCCGGCCACCGGCCCCTGTCCAGGGCTCAGTCGTCCCCGGCCACGGCCACCGTGTCCCTCCCTGCCCAGGACACCAAGGCGCTGGCCCTGCCCGTGCAGGAGCAGCCGCCCAAGCCGCTCTTCACCACAGGTACGGCCACACCTGCGGGGCTGTCACTGCTGGGGGGACAGGAGGGGACCTGGGGGTGTCCCGGGAGGCTCCACTTCGATCCTGGGCATTCCCGGAGTTAGGAGAGCCGGGGAGGGTGGGGGGAATCCTTCTCCTTATCTTGGGGGGCTTTTCCAGGCAGGTTTGCCCACCTGGCCCCTGGCTGCGTTCCTGGAGTTTGGGGCCGAATCTCGCAGGTTTGGGGCAGAATCTCCCATGGTTTGGGGAGATTTTGGTCGGTATTTGGGATCTCGTAGCCCCTGCAGAGGAGCTGAGGGTGCAGCTCTGGCTTTGCCTGGCAGGGCTGGTTTACGACTCGGTGATGCTGAAGCACCAATGCTCCTGCGGGGACAACAGCAACCACCCCGAGCACGCCGGGAGGATCCAGAGCATCTGGTCCCGGCTGCAGGAGCGGGGCCTGCGCAGCCGCTGCGAGGTGAGCTGGGAGGGGCTGGGCCCGCCTCTGTCCCGCTGAGCCCATCCCATCCCTCCTGAACCCATCCCATCCCTCCTGATCCAATTCCATCCCACTGAACCCATCCCCTCCCTCCTGAACCCATCCCATCCCTCCTCATCCAATTCCATCCCACTGAACCTATCCCATCCCTCCTGAACCCATCCCATCCCTCCTGAAGCCATCCCATCCCTCCTGATCCAATTCCGTCCCTCCTGATCCAATTCTGTCCCTCCTGAACCCATCCCATCCCTCAGGATCCCATCCCGTCCCTCCGGATCCCATTCTGTCCTTCCTGATCCAATCCCATCCCTCCTGATCCCATCCCATCCCTCCCGATCCCACCCCTCCCCTCCTCCCGCTGTTTCTCACCACTTCCTTGGTCCCTTCCCTGCTCCCTCCATCTCCCCGCGGGGTTCGGGCTCTGTCAGACCCTGGGCCCGGGGAGGGGCTGATCCCCCCAGCCCAGCCCAGCCCAGCCCAGCCCAGCCCAGCCCAGCCCAGCCCAGCCCAGCCCAGCCCAGTAAAACCAGCTCTGCAATCTGCGGGTGCTCGAGTTCCCAACCCGCGGGGGCTGCAGGAGGGGGACACCAGGACGGGGGGGATCCCCCGCGTGTCCCCCCCGGTCACAGCCGTGTCCCCCCAGTGCCTGCGGGGCCGCAAGGCCACCCTGGAGGAGCTGCAGAGCGTCCACAGCGAGCGCCACGTTCTCCTCTACGGCACCAACCCCCTCAACCGCCTCAAGCTGGACAACGGCAAGCTGGCAGGTGGGTGAGGGGTGGGTGCCCGCCGTGCCAGCCGTGCCCCGGCCCTGGGATGGCTCCCAGCAGCTCCCCTGGGTGCTGGGCACAGCCTGGCCCAGCCCTGAGGTGCCGCTGGCCCCTCTCTCCACAGGGATCCTGTCCCAGAGGACGTTCGTGATGCTGCCCTGCGGAGGGCTGGGGGTGAGTGTTCTATCCGTGCTCTGGGTTTTGGGGTCACTGCTCTGGGTTTTGGGGTCACTGCTCCATCCCTGCCCCGGGTTTTGGGGTCACTGCTCCATCCCCGCTCTGCCCTTCGCACGGGGCTGTTCCGTTTTGGCCCCTCGGGCTCTCGGGGCTGCCTGGGTGGGGGTGTTTGATGGAGGGGTTGGATCAGAGCAGCTCGATGTCCTTGGGGAGGTCAGAGAATCCCACTCTGGAAAGGGATCCTCAACCCAGAGCCCCCCGAGGGCTGGCAGGAGGGGTGACCCCAGGATGGGATCATGCCATGACCAGGGGTCCCCAGGGCTGTGTCACCCCATTCCTGGGGGTCCCAGAGCTGTGTCACCCCATTCCTGGGGGTCCCAGGGCTGTGTCACCCCACGGCTGGGGGTCCCTGAGTGGCGTCACCCCTTTCCTGCTGAGGGAGGGCGGCAGTGACACGGGGACAGCAGCTCAGCCTCTCCATTCCCAGCTTTCCCTCCTGGTTTCTCTGCATTCAGCATTCACTGCCTTCTCCTTCCTCCTCTCCCTGTCCCTGTCCTGTCCCTGTCCTGTCCCTGTCCTGTCCCTGTCCTGTCCCTGTCCTGTCTCTCTGTCTCTCTTTCAGGAAGGGGCTCCCTCGGTGCCTTTCCTGCTGCCTCTCCTGGTTCTGCTCCTCTCCCTGCCCCGTGCTGGGCACCAGCTCTGCTTTCCCTGCTCTGCCTCCTTTCCCTGCTCTGCCCCCGGGCACGGGGAGCTCCCACCCGGCCCCAGCAGAAGAGATTTTTGAGTTCCCCGCCCGTGCCGTGGTGCTGATCACAGCAAGATGTTTGGTTAAACGCTAAAATAAGAGAAATCAGGTAAAGGAGGGCGCTGGGCAGGGAGGAGAACGGGGGTGGCCCAAGGGCACCCTCGGCTGGCACAGGACACCAACCCCTGCTGGGTGAGGCCGTGGCTCCCGTCCCCTGTCCCTGTGTGACCGATGTCCCCTGGCAGGTGGACAGTGACACCATCTGGAACGAGCTGCACTCGTCCAACGCTGCCCGCTGGGCCGCCGGCAGCGTCACCGAGCTGGCCTTCAAGGTGGCCACCAGGGAGCTGAAGGTAGGGGGTGGCCTGGGGGGTCCCAGGGCTGTGTCACCCCACGGCCAGGGGTCCCAGGGCTGTGTCACCCCATGGCCAGGGGTCCCAGGGCTGTGTCACTCCATTCCTGAGGGTCCTTGAGTTGTGTCACCTCACAGATGGGGATCCCAGGGCTGTGTCACCCCATGGCTGGGGGTGTCTCTGAGTTGTGTTACCCCATGGTTTGGGCTCCCAGGTCTCTGTCACCCCATGGTTTGGGGTCTCAGGGTGGTGTCACCCCTTTTCTGGGCATCCTTGAGTTGTGTCACTCCATGGTTCGGGGTCCCAGGATGGTGCAACCCCATGGCTGGGTGTCCCTGAGTGGTGTCACCCCATTCCTGGGGTCCCATGGCTGTGTGCCCCATGGCCGGGGGTGCCAGGGCTGTGTGGCACTGGGGACACGGAGTGTGTGTCCCCCTGGGGTGGCAGCTCTGACCCCTGGCTCTGCTCTGTCCCCAGAACGGCTTTGCCGTGGTGCGGCCGCCCGGACACCACGCGGATCCTTCCACGGCCATGTAAGGCCCCTCCCTCCCCGAGGCACCTGGGGAGCCCCAGAAGCAGCTCCAGGGCTCAAAACCACCCCCAAATAACCCCCTGGGAGCCTCCCCCGCCCCGGGCGAGCTCGGGAAGGGCCTGGAGGTGACTCCCACCCCTCTTCCCAGGGGGTTCTGCTTCTTTAACTCGGTGGCCATCGCTGCCAGGCAGCTGCAGCAGAAGGGGAAGCTCAGCAAGATCCTCATCGTGGACTGGGTGAGTCCCCCCCATCCCCAGGACATCCCCAGGATGTCCCCAGGGGCGGTTCCTGCTCCAGCTCCTGGTGGGAACGTGGCTGGAACCCCCCCAGTGTGCTCAGGATTGGGGAGCGGGAGCAGATCCTGGGCTGGGGGACGCCTGGTTTGGGCTCCCTGGGGTTCTGGGGCCACCCAGCAGCTGCCAAAATCCTCTCTGGGTGTCCCTGCAGGACGTTCACCACGGCAACGGGACCCAGCAGATTTTCTACAGGGACCCCGAGGTTCTCTACATCTCCCTGCACCGCCACGACGACGGCAACTTCTTCCCGGGCAGCGGCGCCGCCGACGAGGTGGGAGGGGGCTCGGGGGACAAAGGGGACAGCAGGGGACAGCAGGACACTGTGGGACACAGCAGGACAGAGCAGGGGACAGCAGGACAGAGCAGGACACTGCAGGGCAGAGCAGGACACTGTGGGACACAGCAGGACAGAGCAGGGGACAGCAGGACACTGTGGGGCACTGCAGGACAGAGCAGGACAGAGCAGGACAGAGCAGGACAGAGCAGGGGACAGCAGGACACAGCAGGACACTGCAGGACACTGCAGTACAGAGCAGGGCAGAGCAGGACACTGTGTGACACTGCAGGACAGAGCAGGACACTGCAGGACAGAGCAGGGGACAGCAGGACACTGCAGGACAGAGCAGGACAGAGCAGGGCACTGCAGGACACTGCAGGACATGGGGGCTGGGCAGGGACAGTGCCCTGGGGGCTCTTTTCCCACCCCTGGGTCACACAGCGCAGGGATGGAGATTGATGGAAAGGCAGGAAAACCCCGCTGGTCCTGCCCCCGCTGTGGCACAGAACAGGGGGCTGGGACCCCCACCTGGCTCCCCCAGAGCCTCACCCCGTCCTTGCTCCCTCACAGGTGGGCGCTGGCCCCGGCGAGGGCTTCAACGTCAACGTGGCCTGGGCTGGAGGGCTGGACCCCCCCATGGGGGACCCCGAGTACCTGGCTGCCTTCAGGTACTGCCCCCATGCCCGTGTGCCCTCTCTGGGGGGGGCTGATCCCGTTCTTCATCCCCTTTTCCCCCCATGTGGGGCTGACCCCCCTCCCCACCCTTTCCCCCAGGACCGTGGTGATGCCCATCGCCCACGAGTTCTGCCCCGATGTGGTGCTGGTGTCGGCCGGCTTCGACGCAGCCGAGGGCCACCCGCCCCCCCTGGGGGGCTACAAAGTCTCTGCCAAGTGTAAGGAGGTGGCTTGGGGTGGGGTGTCCCTTTTTGGGGTGGGGTGTCCCCCATTGGGGTGGGGTGTCCCTTTTTGGGGTGGGGTGTCCCCCATTGGGGTAGGGTGTTCCCCATTGGGGTGGGGTGTCCCCCATTGGGGTGGGGTGTCCCCCATTGGGGTGGGATGTTCCCCTCCCACCCAGGCTGGGACCCTGGGCTCCTGGGGGAGCCTCAGGAGAGTTTTGGGGTTGGCTTTGGGCAGGGGAGGTGACATTCCCGGGGTGTCCCCCAGGTTTTGGCTACATGACCAAGCAGCTGATGAGCCTGGCCGGGGGGGCCGTGGTGCTGGCGCTGGAGGGGGGGCACGACCTCACGGCCATTTGTGACGCGTCCGAGGCCTGCGTGTCCGTCCTGCTGGGCCACGAGGTGAGACTGGCACGGGCCCTGTGCCTCTGCCCCGGCCCGGGCACAGCTGAACCCCTCGTGTCCCCCGGTGCCACCACCCCCATGTCCCCCCTGTGCCCCCCTGTGTCCCCTGGTGCCACCACCCCCATGTCCCCCCTGTGCCCCCCGGTGCCACCACCCCAGCCCGGGCACAGCCCCCTGTGCCCCCCGTGTCCCCTGGTGCCACCACCCCCATGACCTTCCCCCATGTCCCCCCATGTCCCCTCCAGCCGGAGCCGCTCCCCGAGGACAGCCTGAGGCAGAAGCCCAACGCCAACGCCGTGCGCTCGCTGGAGGCCGTGATCCAGGTCCAGAGTGAGTGCCAGCCTGGGCCCCCCTCACCTGGGCTATCCCTGTCCCGGGTTATCCCTGTCCCAGGCTATCCCTGTCCCAGGTTATCCCTGTCCTTGGTTAACCCTGTCCTGGGCTATCCCTGTCCTGGGCTATCCCTGTCACAGGTTATCCCTGTCCCAGGCTGTCCCTGTTCTGAGCTATCCCTGTCCTGGGCTATCCCTGTCCCAGGTTATCCCTGTCCCGTGCCACTGTCCCGGGCCAGCCGCTGGCGTGTCCCCAGCCCCGCTGTCCCCTCCCGCAGGTAAATACTGGGTGGCCGTGCAGCGCTTCGCCTCCAAGCTGGGCTGCTCCTTCCTCGAGGCCCAGCACCACGAGGCCGACGAGGTGGAGACGGTGACGGCCCTGGCGTCCCTCTCGGTGGCCGTGATGGTGGAGAAGAGGTGACATTCCCGGGATTCCCCTGTGCCAGGGGGTGGCAGCGGGGCAGGGCAGTGTGCCCTGCCCTGGAGGAGGTTCTGGGCTCCTGGGAACCCCGTGCGGGGCTCATCCCGAGTGAAACCCAACCAAATCCTCCTGGGAACCCCGTGCTGGGCTCGTCCCAAATGGAAACACAACCAAATTCTCCTGGGAACCCCGTGCTGGGCTCATCCCGAGTGAAACCCAACCAAATCCTCCTGGGAACCCCATGCTGGGCTCATCCCAAATGGAAATCAGACTAAATCCTCCTGGGAACCCCGTGCTGGGCTCTTCCTGAGTGAATCCCATCCAAATCCTCCTGGGAACTCCATGCTGGGCTCCTCCTGGGTGAATCCCAACCAAACCCTCCCTCCTGGGGGTGGGGGGTGTCAGCTCTGCCAGCAGGGTCCCCTCCTGTCCCCTCCCGTCTCGGGGTCCCCGCAGGAGCAGGATGGGGCCCGCGGGCCTCTGACGTGTCCGGCTCCCCCGCAGGGCACAGGAGGAGCCGATGGAGCAGGAGGAGCCCATGACCCAGTGACACTTGGGGACGGTCCCCGGGCGTGGCCGGAGCCCCCGAAGATCCCGATCCCCGTTTGTCCCCCTCGCTCCCGAGGCCCTGGGCGGGCCTGGACTCCTGGAAGGGACATTCCCGCATCCAACGGGATGGGACCGTGGAGAGCCCCGAGCCCAGACTGTGCCCGCAGCCCTCCCCACCCCGTTTTGGGACCCCTCGAGTGGGGTGAAACCCCCCCAGCCCTGCGGCACTGACCCCCCATCCCAGGACCCTCCTCAGCGGGAAGGGCCGGACGTTGGGATGGACGCTCGGACCACCCTGGGGACGGCTCCCAGAGCCTGGAGGAGCATCCCGGGGTTTGCTGGGTGGGGCTGGAGCTCTGCAGCCTCTCCAGAGGTTCCCTGGCTCCCCTCGCCCTGCTGGGGCACGGGGACGGAGCAGCAGTGACGGGGCTGGGAGCTCGGGAGGGCTCGGAGCATCCCCAGCAAGGTTTGGAACTCCCCAAGGAAGATGTGGAGCATCCCAAGGAAGGTTTGGGGCACCCCGAGGAAGGTTTGCAGCCCCCCAAGGAAGATGTGGAGCTCCCCAAGGAAGGTTTGGAGCTGCCCAAGGAAGATTTGAAGCTCCCCAAGGAAGGTTTGGGGCACCCCGAGGAAGGTTTGGAGCCCCCCAAGGAAGATTTGGGGCACCCCGAGGAAGATTTGGAGCCCCCCGAGGAAGGTTTGGAGCTGCCCAAGGAAGATGTGGAGAATCCCAAGGAAGGTTTGGAGCCCCCCGAGGAAGGTTTGGAGCTCCCCGAGGAAGATTTGGGGCACCCCGAGGATGGTTTGGGGCACCCCGAGGAAGATTTGGGGCACCCCAAGGACGGTTTGGGGCACCCCGGCGAGGGCAGAGCGAGGCCGGGGCGCGGGCAGTGCCCGGGGGTCCCTCCTGCCCTCGCTGATTTGCACTATGGACCTGCCAGCGCTAATGTGAACCCGACTCCTCTTCCCGGGGGGATTTTGGGAACCTTCCCCCTCTTCTGAGGTGCCTCGAGCCCCTTGCAGCACCCCGAGGCCCGGCTGGGTGTGGGTCCAGCCCCTGAGCCCCTCCCCAGCCGAGGGACCCCGGTTCCCGTGGGATCCCAAAACCCCGTCCCCATCCCTATCCTGGGGTGCCGGGGCACATCCAGAGCCTCCAGCCCGAGGGTTTCCCCCCAAATTCCCTTTTCCCATTTCCCCAAAGCCTTTGGGGACAGAGGGGACACAGCCCTGGCTGAGCTGGGGGTGGGGACGGCTCCGGCCGCGGCGGCAGGAGGAGATTTTGTATAAAAAAAACAAAAAAACCCAAAACAACCAAAAAAAACAAACAAAGAAATTTAAAAAGAAAAAAAATGAATCAAAACCCTTTGTGTGGCCCAGGGTGGGGGTCGCCAGAGGGGGATGGAGGGACCTCCCAAGCTCCATCCTGCTGGATTTTACCAGGAAAAACCCACCATGCACGAATTTTGGGGGCTTTCCGCCCCCAAAAATATGGGTCAGAAGGGTCATCAGGATGACATTTTCCTCATTTTAAGGGTTTTTGGCTCATTTAAAGGTTTTTTTTGCTCATGTAAAATGCAGGAAAATTTTTTTTTTTTTTTAAACAAATGAGACACACCAAAATACTTGAAAATATTTTTTTAAAAATATATTTCACCTTTTTGAAAAAAAATTTGTTTGGAAGCTGGAGTCTCACTCCACAGATAAGTTTTTGCCCTTTATTTTTTATTTTTCAAACACAATTGATTATTTTTTGTAAGAAGATTTTAACTTCTGATGCCAGTTTTGTTTCTCAGCTTCCCATGAGGCACCGAACGAAGCCACCACAGCCCCGTTTTTAACAGAATTTTGGTTTTTTTTAAGCACCTCCAGATTTTTTTGAAGGCTGCAGTCAACTCCCCGGTGCAGAGAATCAACTCCCACTGCACATAAAAATTGAGAATTGGGTAGAAAAAGTCAGTCTGGGCTTTCCTGTGGTTCCTCCGTGGATTCTCTGGTGCATCCCAAATCTGATCACAGCAGGAATTCCTCTCGCATGGAATATTTGGGTGCTCAGGCCTGTTGCAGCCTCCCTGGAAGGGATTTTTCCCTTTCTTTTTCTGCCATAACAGGCACAAAAAAACTGATTTTTTTTTTTTTTTTTGCCTGATTCCAATAAAAGCAGCCCAGCTGAGGGAGGTGCAGAGGCAGCACTATGTCCATAGGAGAAACAAGGATTGAACCCTGGAAAATTCCCCTTGGGCTTTATTGGGGTTGTTTTGGTTACCCCAACACCTCCATGGTCCCTTCCCCACCCTCTCCGCGCCCCCAAAAGAGCCCAAACCCGCTCAGAGTTCCCAACAAAGCCCCAAAATCCCCCATTCCCGGCGGCTCCGTCTCCAGCCTCGATTCCCGATAAATCCCAAGGGATTGGGAGCTCCCAGCAGAGCGTTCTTGGGTTCCTGATAAATCCCAAGGGATTGGGAGCTCCCAGCAGGGCGTTCCTGGGTTCCCGATAAATCCCAAGGGATTGGGAGCTCCCATCAGAGCGTTCCTGGGTTCCCGATAAATCCCAAGGGATTGGGAGCTCCCAGCAGAGCGTTCCTGGGTTCCCAATAAATCCCAAAGGATTGGGAGCTTCCATCAGGGCATTCCAGGGTTCCTGATAAATCCCAAGGGATTGGGAGCTCCCAGCAGGGCATTCCTGGGTTCCCGATAAATCCCAAGGGATTGGGAGCTCCTCCTGAGGCCCCATCCGCGGGGCAGGAGTGGCTGGGGGTGCCTTGGGGGGGTCAGCAGCCCCCAGATCCCCCCGAATCCTCATCCATGGGAACGTGGAGCCTTCGGAGCGGGATAAAAGCGGGGGACCCCCGAGGTCCTTGGAGGGCTCCTGAGGGGCTCCAGCCCTTCCCTTTCCCCTCATCCTGAAGGAATTTTCCTGGTGGTCCCGGCTGGAGGCAGCTCCGGGAAGGGCTCGGCGTCCCGGCAGTCCCGGAGGAGGAAATCGGGATGGTTCCTTACCTGCGAGCCCGCGATAAATTACAGCCCCGAGTTCCTCCAGCTCCAACCAGCTCCTGCTGCGGCTCCCTCGGGCACAGTCCTACAGTTTTTGGGGTCCCCGGGGCTGTCAGGGGGTTTGGGGGTCGTTCCCTCCTCTCTCCGGGGAGGTTTCTGTGGGGTTTTGGGTGCTGGAGCTGCTTCCATCGAGGCGGAGACCTGGGGGGAGACAGCGGGGTCAGGTCGGGATTAGCTCCCCGAAATCCTACAAATCCATGCCCTGGAAACAGGAGGGTCAGGTCGAGCTCAGCTCCCCAAAATCCTACAGATCCATGTCCTGGAAACAGCAGGGTCAGGTATGGCTCGGCTCCCCAGAATCCTACAGATCCATGTCCTGGAAACAGCAGGGTCAGGTATGGCTCGGCTCCCCAGAATCCTACAGATCCATGTCCTGGAAACAGCAGGGTCAGGTCGGGCTCGGCTCCCCAAAATCCTACAGATCCATGCCCTGGAGCCAGCGGGGCAGAGCCGCCCCCGGCCGCTGCCTCTGGAGCTTCGCATTCCCGGATTTGCCCAGAGCCACGAGGGATGTGCCGGGAAACGTCCCCACACCTGGGGCCAGGAATTAAAACCACCCAAATCCCAGTTTTTCCCGCAGATCAGGTCTCGGGGAACCCCTCGGGAGCCCCCCCGGAGCCGAGGCTGGAGGATGGAGCAGGGAATCGGCTCCAGGGATCGATCCCTGTGGGATCCCAGCCCTGGTGTTCCCGGTGCTTCCAGGGCTTATTCCAGCTTTATTCCATCCCCTCCTGCTTTGTTTCCTCCTCACCGAGAGCTTCCCCTCTCTGGAGAGGAGCCTGGGGAGGGATAAATCAAATCCTCCCGGAATTCACCCCCGGGAAGGGCTGAGGTCGTGCCAGGGGTGGGGGACAGAGAGGAAAATCCCCCAAAGGCCGATGTGTCCATGGCTGAGGCCTTGGGATGGACGATGGGCACATCCAGGGGCTGGAGGACAACAGGCAGCCAAAATTTCAGAGTCATGGCCAGGCGGGACCATCTCAACCCAGCCCATGGAAAAACGGATCAGCCCAGTGAGGCCTGATCCCAAAAATACCCATTCCCGGTGGGATTTTGGGATCCTCCGCAGGGTTGGACAAGGTTTAACACCAAAAAACCCTCACGGGGAGATTCCAGGGCTGCCCAAGGGCCGTGGGAGCCTCCGGAGGGGCCCGGCCCTGCAGGATTTGGGAGCTCACGGAGCGCCCTGCTCACCCTCCCTCCGGCATCCCCTCCTTTGTGCACCCCAGGATCGGAGCTGCTGCCGGGCACGGGCGGTCCCGCAGCTCCCGGTTCCCCCGGAGCCTTCCCTGACAGCCGGGATGAAAAACGGGCTCGTTCCAGCGGCGTTCCCGGGCCGAGGCAGCTCCAGCGAGCTCCGGCTCCTTGCAGGGGCCATAAACCCGGAGATATTTCCTCATTCCCGAGGGCTGGATCCGCGATTTTATGTCTGGATTAATTTTAACTAATCCTGAGCAGTGCAGGGACTCTGCCATGGAGAGCAGCTCAGTCCCCCTGGGTGTTTTTTTTTTATTTTTAATGAAAATGTGGAGGTTTTTGAATGCAGCAGCTCTGGTCATGCCTGTGACAGTTTGGGGGATTTCGGGAAATATCCCCCACCCCAAAGCAGGGCAGCTCCTTCTGCCCCTCCAACACCGCCCCTTCCACCCCGAGTGACAACCGCAGCTCCGGGAAGAGCAGATTTTGGGGAGCCCTCCGACCTCCAAACCTGCTCTGTTCCAGGAGAAAATCCCAGGAGCACCGAATCATCCAGAAAGAGATTTCCCAGGATTTCAGCAGCTCCTCACCCCTCCTGAGAGCCCAGCCCCAACCCGGGGGTCCTGGACCACCCTGAGCCCTTTAACCAGGGGCTGAATCTGCTTTTAGGGGATGATTTGGGGTGGGAAGGGATCCCTGCTCTCCTGCCGGGCTGCAGAGGGATCTGGGAGATTTTAAAGCAGCTCGAGATGGATTTCCTGAGCAGGGAAATCATAAGAGGGAATAGGGAATGGGGAATAGGGAATAGGGAATAGGGAATAGGGAATAGGGATGGGAGCTGTTCCCGAGCTCCCCCAGTGCCCCGGAGCAGCCAGAAGTGTTTATAAATAAAAGCAAATGAAGCAGCCGCCAGACAAAGCCGATTCCAGGCGAGAGCAACAGTCCCCAAAGGGAAGATTTATCCAAGGTCTTTCAGGAGAGACAATTAAGTGAGGGCAACGCGAGAGAGGCGATAAATCCAGGGAGACAAATGAAGGGCAAGGAACATCAGCCCTCAGCCTCTCCCCCCGGCAGCTCCAGCTTCCAGCCTCATTTTCTCCTCCAGCAGGAAAGAAACCATTTTAATGCGCTCAAGACTCTGCCGAGAAAAGCTGAGCTGGGGGAACTTCAAACGTGATTTCTGTTGCCTGAGGGCTCCATCCCTCTTTTTTCCCCGGCTGGTGTCTCCCGGTTAACAAGGGCACATCCAGCTCTTCCAGCCCGCTTTGATATTTAATCGGCTGAGTTCCACCATCCAGGGGCTGCTTTCCATTAGGAAATCCCAGTCCCGCTGCGAGCGCCGCGTTCGTTCCCTCCCGGGAGGGGAGACGGAGCCTCCCCAGCCCGGCACGGTTCCCCCGCGGCTCTTCCCTGGTTTTGGGGCTTTGCCGGGAGAATTCCCGTCCCTCTCCCTCCCCGGGATTGTTCCCCTGGAGCCCCGAACGCCGCAGTTTCGGGGAAGGCGATTCCCTCCCCGGCTGGGGATGCAGGCGCGGAGCCGCTCGGGTCGATTTTAGGGGAATGATGATCCCGCCGCGCCCACGGGAGCTCTCCAAAGTGACGGAAGGGTCTTTAATCCCTCTGGTTATCCCTCGGTTCTGCCCAGAACTCGGCTTAAATAAACAGCTCCGGCAGTCGGTGCCGGCCCCGCGTCGGGTTCCACACACTGAGGGAGCAAAAATGGGTCTGGGGGTGCTGGGGAGGGGGCTCAGCCTCCCCCACCTCCCCAGGGCAAAGGGATTCTAGCCAGGCTTTACAAAATTCGGGATGAAGCCGTGCCAAGCAGTTTCCCTGCCTTTGGGGAGCGCCCCCACAACAGTCCCAAAACTGGAGAATCCAACCCCAAAGTGCAAACCCAAAAGGGGGTGCCCAGAAGAGGGTGAGGGGTCCAGGGGGGCACGGGGGGCTCAGCATCCCGACTGGTCCTGGCAGGTTTTGGACATCCCCAAGTGAAGATAAGGTGCCACCCGCTTCTGCTCTGGCCAGCCCCGAGGGGAGGTGACCCGGCAAGGACAGGATTTAATGTCTGAAACAGCAGGGCCTGCCCCCAAAAATCGATATATAAATTTAGCAAAATGTCAGATTTCCTCCTGGCTGGGAGGGATCTGGCTGGGAAAGGGAGTTTCAAGGTAGCCCATCCTGAAAGGAAATCCCCTGGGAGGTGCTCGGCACCCTGAGCCAGCGCTGGCATCTGCACAGCCTCGAATTTGGGGCTGTTCAGTGCCCGAGGAGAGGCAGGAGGAGCCCTGGTGGACAGTGGGGTCTCTCAGGAGTCAGGGTCCCATGAGATGTCCCTGGAGCTCCTGGCTTGGGAATGTCCTCTGGAACTTTCTGCTCCTGCTCTGCGGGAAGTGCCGGCGCCTCGTTGACCCTGCTCCTCCTGTTCCCGATTCCTGCCAGCCCTAAAACTCTGAATTTTGGATTATCCCCTCTCAGCATCCTGAGGGACGCTCAGGACGGAGCTGAGTCCCTCAGAATTCCCCACACAGTGCAGAATTCCCGCGGATCCAAGGGAATCACGGATCCCATCCTGTCTGCAGAGCTCTGGGAGAGGAGCAGCAGGACGCCAGGCAGGCTGGAGGACACGAAGCCACCCCAGGGCAGGGCGAGTTTGACACCTCAGCAGCGCCAGCAAGGCCAGGATGGGGTTTTCGGGAATAAACCAGATTTTTAAAACTCCCTTTTAAACCTTTCCCACCCCAGCTGAGTGGGATCAGCCGCTCCAGAGCAGCTCAGGAACCGCCACGTCCTCCCGCTCTGGGGTCCAGTGGGACAAATCCCTCGTCCCCAGAGCACCCCAGAGGCCACGGGAACATGGTGGGGACACAGCGGGGACACAGTGGGGACACAGCGGGGACACGATGGGGACACGGCCACACGTACCCGGCTCAGTGGGACGCCGACATGGACCAGGCGCCCTCCATCCTCCAGACGGAGAAGGCGTAGCTGAGCCTCTCGTGGGCCAGGAAGTTGCAGCTGGTGGCGACCTTGTGGTCCAGCTCGTCGCTCTGCAGCACCTGGCACAAGAAGTCGATGTAGCGAGCGGCCAACTTGAGCGTCTGGATCTTGCTGAGCTTGTCCGAGGGCAGCGTGGGGATGATCTTGCGCAGCTCGGCGAAGGCGTCGTTGAGGGACTGGGTGCGCTGGCGCTCCCGCACGTTGGCGATGACGCGCTGGGCGTGGGCGTCCTCGGGGGGCTGCGGGCCCGGGCTGCGCCGGCTGCGCTTGCCCTGCGGCGAGGGGGCTCCGCCGGGGCCTTGCCCCCGCTTGCGCCCGCTTTTCCTGGGCAGCCGCTCGGCCTCGTCCTCGCTGGTGGCCGCGCTGCCCTCGGGGGAGTCCGGGGACAGGTTCTCCTCCTTCATCTCCTCGGCTCCCTGGGCTCCCGAGGCCAGGCCCGGAGCATTCGCCCCCGGGGCTCCCCGGGCGCCCCAAGCCCGCAGAGCCCTCCAAGGAGCTCCTTGGCTTCTCCTTTGGGCCAGGAGAGGAGGGCGCTGGGATGACTTCGGGAACGGCTCCTGCTGATAGGGCGAGCGGGGCGGGGGCGGACCAGGCGCAGACCAATGCAGGGGAACGCCAGCGGCTCTGGAGCTTATGGGTTCCAGATTTCCTCTCTCCCTCCCCACCGCCACCCCGAGCCCTCCGGCACACATGCTCCGGCTGCCGCCCGGATGTCAGGGACAGTCTCGGTGCCAAGGGAGCCCCAGCCATGGAGCTCAACGGTGGTTTTGGGGTTTTTTTAAAATGATTTTTCAACCCAGTTGACCCCAAAAAGGAATTATCTCCTTGTTTGGGGTGGAGGAGGACACTTTCACCTGTGAGGGAGCCAGGTGGGGATGTGGAGCCACAGGGGTTGCAATGAGCAGGTCAGGAACTCCCAGATTCCAAAGGAAGAAGCAACCAAAGTGAGATCGGCATCCGTAGGGCTCTTGAAGAAAGGATTCGGTCAAAATGAGCTTGAGTTTGCGTCCATTTGTCCATTTGCCAGGCCATCCCTTCATCCATCCATCTGTCCATCCATCTGTCCATCCATCCATCCATCCATCCATCCATCCATCCATCCCCTGCCTCCATTCCCAGCATCCCTCATCATCCTCATCATCCTCATCACCCTCATCTCCCTCACCCATCACCAAATTCCTGTTGAGTAAATCCAGCGGCTCCTGGGTGGAGGAGGAAGGAGAAAAGGAAGAGGAAATGGAAGAGGAAAGGGCACAGGAAGAAGAAGAGGAAGGGGAAGGGGAGGGCAGGACCTCTCTGGGAATCCCTCAGGAGGACAGGACTGGGGCCAAATCCGGAGCCCTCGGCTGCCGAGGGCTGAGGAGCTGCCACCAGCTCCAGCTGAGGCTCAGCCTGTGCCTGGCCTTTATTCCTTAATTAATTCTTTTGTTGTTGTTGTTTTGGTTTTGTTTTTTATTATTTTCCTTTTAAAAGAAAAGAAAATTGAATTGAATTTTGCCAGGAGAAGGGTTCTGGCCAGGGGAGGGGAGGTTTGGGATCGGGGCTGGGATCCCGGAGCCAAGGGAGGAACACAATGAGCTTTGAAGTGCAGGAAGGAGCAGCCCCACACCCCAAGGGGCTTTTGTCCCCACATTTGGAGGGTTTGTGGCTTTTCCCTCAAACATTTCAATTTGTTCTTTCAGTGACTGTTTTTCTGGGAGGATATTCATCCAAACTTCTCATGGAAAGGTCACGAGGCACCAAAGTGGTTTCAGTAACTCCTCCAGCTCGCTGGGGGTTTTTCTGGTGCTGCTTTTGACACATCGGGGAAAATTTCAAGCCTTAAAGAAAAAAAAACAAAAACAACTCAGCCAAGCCCAGCTCACTGGAGGCAGGGAGAAGTCACCAGATGGGAGATTTGAATTTCCAATTCCCACCAATTCCTGACCCCTCTGGACACGTCTCCTCCTGGTTTCCCCTCACCCCTCACATCCATCACCCCCCAGGAGGATTTTGGGGGGTTTTGGGGGAGTCTCCTCACAGGGGACAAGGGGCAGCACAGCAGGAAACAGCCTCGAGTGGTGCCACCGAAGGTTTAGGTTGGATTTTGGGAAAATTCCTCCTGGGCAGGACCCCCCAGCCCAGGGCAGGGGTGGGGGTCCCCCTTCCTGGGGGGATTTAAAAGTGGAGGTGGCCTTGGCAGCACTGGGGAAGCATTTGGTGCTCTCAAAAGGTTTTGGGTTGCTTTGTTTTGGGATTTTCTTTCCAAGCTCCGTTTCTTTGTTCCAGAGGACAAAAATATTCCCCATTTCATCCCGTGAGAAGATAAAAAAACAAAAAAAAACAAAAAAAAAAAGAGGATAACGCTGATAAATGGGGAAGATGAAAGGGAGCCGGGAATAGCCGCTGCCCCTGGAGGCCGGGAAGCGCCTTGAGACACGCAGGTTTTTCCACTTACGGCGGCCTCGAGTGGAAACAGCTGCGGGACGGCCAAAAACGCGGAGCATCCGCGCCGCGTGTGGCTGCCGCGGCAACCGCGGGGAATTCGGGGTGCCGGGAGCGGGTGGGAAGGGGAACCCGCGGGGCGCTTTGAGGGCAGGCGGATGGATGGCCCCGCGATCCTCCTGCCCCGGCGCGGTGACCTCACGCCCCGGAACGCGCCGGGATCTGGGGCGGAACACGGAACACGGGGGTCAGGGGCGTCCCGGGGGGTGCAGGGGGCTCCTGGGGGCACCGGGAGCGATCCCGGTGTTGTCCTGCGGGATGGGGTCGGGATGAGGCGAGGGAGGAACCCCGAGGGTGCCGCTCCCCCATCCCCGGGCTGGGCCCATCCTGTTCCACTTAATTCCGACACTGGAAAGTTTCTTCCCCCCTTTTCTCCCCCGTCTGCTCCCATCTGCCCATCCAAGCAGCGAAGTGTCGGATCGTGGTCGCTGCTGGGAGCTGTCCTGAGAGGGACGGAGGGATGGATGGATGGATGGATGCATGGATGCATGGATGGAGGGATTGGATCCATGGATGGATGGATCCACGGATAAATGGATAGATGGATAAATGGATAGATGGATGGATGGATCCATGGATGGATCCAGGGATGGAAGGAGGGATGGAGGGTTGGACGGATGGATGGAACTGCCTCCCAGAGAACACAGAATTATTTTTGTGTGAGCAGCTGAGATCCCTCAGAGCTGACGCCAGTTCCTGCCTCTCTGCTGGGCCAAACTGCAGCCCAAAGGGGGCTCGGAAAAGCCCCTGGAGCGCAAACCACGGCCGGAGCCACGGCCCATGGATGTCCCCGAGGCCTGGGTGTCCCCAGCCCCTCAGACCATCCAGGGTGGGGGTGCCTGGCAGGGGCAGAGGGAAGGACCTGGCTCTCCCAGAGCTTTCCCGACCCCCGAGCCACCCCCACCCCCTCCCAGCCCCACAGCAGCACATCTGGGACACCCCCGGAGCCTTCAAAGCCATGTCTGGGGAGAGACGAAAGGCCCGGCTCAACTCCTGGCCGGAGATGAAAGGAAAACTCTCCCTGGGCGGCTGGAACGAGTTCCCGGTGCTCCGGAACGGGGCTGCAGGGGCCCATTTCCTGCGCCGCCTTTCCAGAGGGACTTCGCCGCACATTCCCGGCCCAAAAGGGCTCCGGGCTCCCCGAGGGGCTCCCGGGATGCTCCGTGGGCTGGGGGGGATGAGGGGCAGTGGGACAGGGAGGGAAAAGCTCCTCCAGGACGAGCCCGGGGCGGGGGAGCGGCTGCCGGGCGGATGCGAGCGACAGATTTTCCTCATTTCGTCCCAGGAAATTCTATTCCGATTAAAAGGCGTTTGATCTGCACGGAGCGGGCGGGGGAAGGCCGCGGTGGGGTTGGGTTTCTCTCCAGTTGTGGGGCTTTATGGGGTTTACAAAGCAGCTCAAAGCTCCTGGGATTTCACAACTGCAGAATGGGGAGTTGAATTTTGGGGGTTTGTGAAAAGGTGGAGGAGGAAGGGATGGAGCCTCGAGCGCCCCAGGGCTCCTCCTCTCCCCGTTTTCCAAAGGGCTGATCCCTCTCCATCAGGGAAGGGGAATCCTACAGCTCCTCACCCCCTTCAGCACCAGGAATAAAAGGGTTTTTTCCAGGCTGGAGAAGGGAAATGTCCCAGTGTTGTAGGAGGTTGGGGTTCTCAGGGGGACCATGGGGTCTTGTGGAATTTGGGGTTTCCCGAGGGCTGGAAGGGATGGATTTTGGGGTTTATCAGCCTATAAAAGGGGTAAAAGCCACTTAACAGTGAGGCAGAGCCATCCCAAGGGACAGGCCGGAGGAGCAGCTTCCCCCTGGTCGTTATCCCAGCCCATTCCTCACATCCCACTCCCAGCTGAGGAGGAAGGGAAGCAGTGACCCTTCCATGGGAAGTGGTTCCAGCCCAGCTCCAGGCTGGGAAGGAGCAGAGAGACCCCCAGAGGGGCCGGGACCCCCTGATGACCCCTTTGCCTTGGCCCCTTCGGGCTCTCCACAAGCCCCAAAGTCCATCCCGAAGGATCTTCCCAGCTATCCCAGCCTGGGGATTTTCAGCCTCCTCGTTAAGCACTGGGCCCATATTGAACCATTTTATTCCCTTGGTTTCTCTCCAAGCTGAGAATTGTCCTAAAAATAACCATTCTCAGTTCTGTGTGTGATGTTCTCCCCCCTCTCCCAGCCCCTGGCTCTGTCCCAGCTCCCCCAGCTCCGGTGAGTTCATCCCGACACCAAAACTGCTCCGTTGGGGATCTTTAATTTGGCTGCTTCTCACCCAAAGCCCTGGCTGGAGCACGAGGATTCCCTGGGGATGGCAGCAGGACTGGGCTCGTGTCCGTTTGTCCAGCTGGACACGGCCCCTGGGAGCCAGGACACTCCTTTGGGATTCCTGGCTCCAGCCCCAAGCTCTTCCTCAGGGACTCTTCCAGATGCCCAGGATGCCGTGAGTGAGGTGGAATTTGGGGGATTTTCTGATTTGTCCCATCTGGGGAACAAAGGGCAAACCCAAGCTGAGCCAGGTGTCCAGGGAGCAGGGACAGCACGTGTGGTGACATCCCCGTGTCCTGGAAGGTTTGGGACACGCTCCTGTCCCTGCCTGTGCACCTCACCCTCCTAGCCCCCACTTCCCCACAGACTTCCAGGGGGAAGCATTCTCCTGGGAACAGGGACCTGCAGGTCCCTCCAGCTCTGTCCCCAAGCCCAGACCCTCCTGCAGGTCCCTCCAGCTCTGTCCCCAAGCCCAGACCCCCCTGCAGGTCCCTCCAGCTCTGTCCCCAAGCCCAGACCCCCCTGCAGGTCCCTCCAGGTCTGTCCCCAAGCCCAGCCTGTCCCCAAGGCCAGCAGGAAGCCTCAGGACCCCTCTGCTGCAGCCCTGCCCCACCCCGGAGCTGAGGGACACCCCCAGAGCCACGCTGGGGACACCCAGCCGGGCTTTGTGTCCCTGCACACGAGGACAGTGTCCCCAGCACCTCCCTCCCCCAAAGCCACCTGGAGGGTCCCCAGCCCCACGAGGCTCATCCGGAGCCTTTGAGGCGCCGCTTCCGCCCTCGCCACATCTTGAGAGCAGATTGGGAAAATACAAAAAATCTGTGCTTTTCCTTCGGGTGCCTCTGAATCCCTCCACGGGCAGGAGAAGTGGGACTGGGGCCATGCTGGACCCTCAGGAGGTGCCAAGACCTCCCCCCAAAGGGTCCCAGTGAGAGCCATAGGGGTCCTCCATGACCCTAAACATCCCTCAAAATCCAGCAGAGGCTCCCCAGTTCCTGAAGATTCCTCCGGCTGCCCAGTGCTAGGGAGTGAGGAATGCTGCAAAGGGAAAAATGCCATGAAAAATGGGGCTGGGAAAGGCTGCTGCAGCCAGAGAATGGGGTGGGGTGGCTGGGACTTTGTGGGGGCTGTGGGGAGGGAAGGGGTCAGGGCGAGGGGATGGGTTTGAGTCTCCTGGGAAGCCTTTAGAGCAACAGGATCTCTGTGCTCTCCTGTCCCAGTGCCAGGGGACGGGAATTCCAGCTGGGATCCTTCCCTCGGACCCCAGGGCTGGGTTCTTGTGGGGACTCGGGTCTCCCCTGCAGGGCCACGCTGAGCTCCTCGGTGGCCCCCGGGCACGGGGATGTCCCTGGCCTGGGGATGTCCCCGATTTTGGGGTGTCCCGGGTGGTTTTGGGGTCTCACTCGCGCCCCCTCCCCAGCGCGGCTGTGCCACTGCCGCCCTCTGGCGGCTGCTGCGGGCCCTGCACCCGGGGTGTCCCCGGGGTGTCCCCGAGGTGTCCCCGAGGTGTCCCCGGGGTGTCCCCGCGGTGTCCCCGCGGTGTCCCCAGGGTGTCCCCGAGGTGTCCCCGGGGTGTCCCCGCGGTGTCCCCGCAGTGTCCCCGCGGTGTCCCCGCGGTGTCCCCGAGGTGTCCCCGGGGTGTCCCCGGGGTGTCCCCGAGGTGTCCCCGCAGTGTCCCCGGGGTGTCCCCGCGGTGTCCCCGCGGTGTCCTTGGGGTGTCCCCAGGGTGTCCCCGAGGTGTCCCCGGGGTGTCCCCGGGGTGTCCCCGCGGTGTCCCCTGCCCTGGACCCCATCCCATGGTCAGTGATGGGATTGGGAATGGGAACCCACTCGAGGCTGACCCCAAATCCCCCCTGAAGCCCCCCTGCACCTCATCCATTTCCAGCAAAAAGGGATGGAATCACCACCACTTCCCAAAAAATCCCTTTGGGCTGAAATCCCCGAATCCCAAAGGATTTGTGAGGGGAAAAATCCACCTCAGACTCCGTGTGGAGGAGGAACTGAGGAGTTAAACCTTCCCCCCACCCCAAAAGGTGCCATTCCCACCCGTCCTCCCCAGGATGCCAGGGAATTCCAGTGCAGCCAGGCTGGTGAGGGAGGGCTGTATTTGTGGTGCCACAGGGTGACAGCAAGGGTGGCACCGACCCCGGCACCCCCGAGGTGCAAACCAGGAGGAATCCATGTAAAAATAGAGAGAATATTTACACACAGGAACCTTTACAAAGCTGAGGTGGGAACTCCAGGGTTAGGACGTGACCCAGGGGCTGGGTTTAGGGACTCCAGCAGGTCACAGCCTCACCCCAAAGGTGCTCCTCAATCCATGGAGTCACCTGAGCAGCCCCTCTCCCCTCCACTCTCCTCCTGCTTCCACATAAACATTTTTTCCTTATTTTTTCCCCAAGAATCCTCTCCCTGAGGCTCAGGGGAGAGACCCTGCACCCCCTTCCCCAAACACCTTTTCCCCACACACCCGCTGCTGCAACTTCAAGCATTAAATACGGCATTTATGGTTAAACACGGGATCCCATTCCTTTTTAAAACCAGCCCGGGGAGCAGCCAGGGGCAGCATTCCCAGCCCTGGGAGCTTTGGGATGAACTTTGGGATGAGCTGTGCTCTGCTAGGGGCGGCATTCCCATCCCTGAGAACTTTGGGATGAGCTGTGCTCACCCACAAAGGAGCAGAGAGGTGACACAGGAGCAGGGCGGTGACAACTGCCACCCCCTGGAGCACTCCAGGAGTCCTTCCCCTCCCTCCCTCCTCCTGGAACCTGCCACGGTGAGCGAGGAAAAGCCAGCGGGCAAAGCCCCTCTGTGCGGACAGACGGACAGACGGACAGACAGCCAGCCCCGGGGTGCCGGGAGGGGCTCCCTGCTCCGCGTCCCGCCTCTCACACCTTTCCCGCAGGCTCAGAAGTCGCTGAGGATGCTGATGTCGGCGAACTCGGCCCGGTACCGGTGCGAGTAGAGGCTCAGCAGCAGCGCCCACTTCAGCGCCATGAAGCTCCACACGCACGACAGGTAGTAACTCTTGGGGTCAGTCAGGGCTGTCGGGGGGAAAACAGGGATTCGGTGGGAACCCCAGCCCCTCGGAGCTCTGGATTCCCTGGATTCCACCGGAATGGGATGATTTCCCCGGCTCTGAACTCCCTGGTTCAGGGATGGGATTTGTGGGGATTCCTGCATTTGTGGGGATTCCCGGATCATCGGGATTCCTGGACTTTGGGATTTCAGGATTGTGGGGATTCCAGGATTTGTGGGGATTCCTGGACTGCGGGGAATCCGGGATTTGTGGGGATTCTGGGATCTGGGGGGATTCCAGGATTGTGGAGATTCCTGGATTTGTGAGGATTCCAGGCTTGGAGCTGCTCCAGGATGGCCATGACCATTGTCATGGAAATGATGAAATTCCCAGGTTTTTTTCGGGCTTTGTCATGGAAATGAGGCAAGTCCAGGCTTTTCGGATGTCTCAGCAGGGTATGGAAATGCTGTGACAACCCTGCAGGCTGTCCCCAAAAGAGGAGGTGGCAGGAGCATCCCCAGCCCTGCTCTGTCCCCAAGCCTCCCCCAGTATTCCCAGTCCCTCCCAGTACTCACACTGGTGCTGGGTGATGGCCAGGGCCAGGAAGGCGCAGAAGCCCAGCCCGGAGAGGGCAGAGAAGAGGATCCCGACAGAGAGGAAGAACCTCAGCCCTTTTAACCAGGTCCTCCAGTAATCCTGCAGGTACATCACATGCGTGATTAGGGCCCAGAGCGCCAGCACACCTGTGCAGTGACAGCAGGGACATCAGAACAGCACCCATGTACAGGTAAAATATAGCTTAACCCCCCCCAAACACCTGGGAACAGCAGGGAACAGCAGGACACCTGTCCAGGTGACAGCAGGGACATCAGAACGGCCCCTCAGCCCCTCCTGCCAACCCATCCCTGCAGCTGCCCGGACCTGCTGCCCCCCTGCCCACATTCCCTGCTCAGGACAGGCTGGATTCGCCCCCCAGGACCCCCCACGGGACACCCCATGACCGATCCCCCCGTTCTGGGGGTCCCGTGGCCACAGTGCAGCGTCATCGCACCCCAAACGCTGTGCCAGGGTCTGGTGACAGAGCTGAGCCTCGACTTCCCCAAAATCCGCCTCCCCCACTTCCTGCTGCCCCGGGGCCCAGCGCTTCCGACCCACATTTCGGGCAGAAATGGGGAACTGCGGGTCTGGAGTCAGCAAAAAGCGGCTCCCTGCTGAGCCCGCCCGATGAGTCAGCAGAACCGCCCTGAATGCTGAGTCAAGGTTTGCTGTTCCCATCCCAAAACTGCCGCTGGTGCCACGAGCTCTGCGCGGGGACAGCAGCACCAGAGGCCCTCGAGGTCCCCTCGACTCCCCCAGACCAAGCCCTGACCCAAACACTGACCCAAACACTGACCCAGTTCTGATCCAAACCCTGACCCAAACCCTGACTCAATTCTGATCCAAACCCTGACCCAAACCTGATCCAAACCCTGATCCAAACCCTGATCCAAACCCTGATCCAAACCCTGACCCAAACCCTGATCCAAACCAGATCCAATTCCAATCCAAACCAGATCCAATTCCAATCCAAACCCTGATCCAATGCCACTCCAAAACCTGATCCAAACCCTGACCCAAACCCTGATCCAAACCCTGATCCAATTCTGATCCAAACCCTGATCCAAACCTGATCCAAACCCTGATCCAAGCCCTGGCCCAGCTCTCCAGAGGCAGCTCTGGGCCCAAACATCCCCTGAAAACCTCTGGCTTTGAAACCGTTTTTATGGGGAAATTAAATACAAGTTGTGACTTGTTGAAAGCGTGGGGTGACGGAGTGCAGGAGCTGCAGGTTTTCACCTCAGGGACTCCCCCAGACCCAGCCCTCCTGCCCTAAAGCACTTTGTCCCTCAGCCCTGAGCCAGGGGACAAACCCCACAGCAGCAGCAGAGCCCAGACAGCTCCAGTCCCACCCTGGGTTCAAACAGCACCCAAACCCCTCCATAAAAACACAAATCCCTCTGGATTTACCCCAAACTCATGGCCTGCAGCAGCCCTGGAGCAGGAGCTGCTCCGTCAGACACAACCCAAGGATTTCCCACAGGGAATCCAACCCAAATTATCCCAGGATACGAAACACAAAAGCCTCCCAGCACCCTTGGAAGGAGCTGAAATAAATCCCAGAATTTCAAAGCAGGGCTGGAAGCTGGGGAATGATCCTCCTCCATCAGACCCAAATATTTGGATAATATTTGGGCTGTTTGAGCTCCAGGGAAACGAGCTTTCCCTCTCTGCAAACATCCAAACAAAAACTGGGACAAACACATGGTTTTGACGGCCTCCTGCTCCTCCTGGAGGGATCCTTCAACCCCAGGGAAAGTTTTTTTGGGAATGTTCCATGTGTTCCACATGGAAATCCCAGAAAAAAACAACAAATCTGCAGCAGAGGCCAAAATAAATCCCCAAACACAAAAAATTCAGATTTATTCCACAAGGAGCCCCCTGACTCACGCATTCCTGCAAGGAACATCCCAATTCCAGCTCCAAATGTGGGGTGATGGCAAAGAAAATGAGGGTAAAAATGAAAAGCAACATTAAAAACTCCCTGAAAATGGTGACCAGTTCCAACACTGGGGTTTTTTTCTGGGTGTTTACAAAGCCTTCAGTCCTTTTCCAGCTAAACAATCCCCTTTTATCCACTCCAGCTGCAGCATCAGCTGGAACGAGCTGAAATCCCCACTCCAACAGGAGCTGGAGCTCTGCCAAGTGAAATTTTGCCATTTCCACGTTTGCCAAACTTTGCCTCTCCTGGGGGAACCCGGGAGCCTCAGCTGGGTTTGGAATAGGTCAAAAACGGGGGGATTTTCCTGCCAAAACTGCTGGGGATCCACGCTGAGATATTTTAGGAAAACAGCTCTGGAAGGAGAGGAACCTTTGGAATATTCTGGTGTTGTACCCGATCCCGTGTTCAGCTCCCACTCCTTCCATTTCTCAGGTGTTTTTTAAAATTTTCCAGGAGTCTCCAAAGCCCCTGTGACTGGGTGGAAACGGAATTAAACCCCTGGGCCATAAGGGATTTAATTCCATTAATCCAGCCCCAGCCTCGTTTCCCCTCCATGGAACTTCAGACCTGGATCAAATGAAGTTTTGACTGTAAATAACAGAGAATGAGTGACATTTAGGGCTGATTCCCAAGCAGGAAAGGTTCTCTGGGAGATAAGGGGGAAATATCAACAAACTGATTGCAGAGACAAAGCTGGAGATTCCTCAGAACCAGGAGGAATTCTTCCAGCCAGGAAGCCTGTGGATAAACATCCTCAAACACAGATCCAAAGGCACAGCAGAGGCATTAAAAACGAGATAAACACGGACCAACAGGCAGAGCTTGGCTTAATCAGGGCACTTTAACGAGGATCTGCAAATTCCACTGTCAAAATTCCTCTGTCAAAATTTCACTGTCAAAATTCCTCCCTGAACACAAGCACAGCAGAAAATACCTTCATTTGCTCTTTCTCCTGCATTTCTGGCTCAAGATCCCCCCAGTTTTGTGCCACCCAGCAAAGCAAAGTGTGGGAATTCTATGCTGAACCCCAGCTCCAGCTGGAATTAAAAGCTTTTTTTTATTTATTTATTGTTATTTTTTTGAGGGAGAGGAAGCAGAGAAAAGCCCAGCCCTGCACCGCACCCCTGGATCCTTTCTAAATTTTAACTTTCTACTGTTCCTCCAGGAATTCAGCCAGGGAAGCCCTGGAGCTGCAGGACTCTGTCCTGCTCCAACCCAGAGCCACAAACCCCGAATCTCACAGAATTTTGGGCACATCGGATGCAGTTTTACCCCTGTGGCCCAAACCCCTCCTCCAGAGGTTCTGTTCCAGCATCTGGGGAAATCAGGAGGATTTCTTTGCTTCCCTGAAAGCCTCAGTCCCAAGGAACGGGCTCCTCAGCCTCATTGCTGCACTGACACCCCCAAATGCCCCCTCAGCCTGAGATCCCCCCTCAAACCTCTCCTCAGCCCTGGGGAAGGGGCTCCTTGGCCCCACCATTGCCCTCAGTCCCCCCCAGCCCTCAGAGCCCCCTCAGGGCTGAGGAAGGGGCTCCTCACTCCCCTCAGAGCCCCCACAGATCCCTCACACCCCTCAGGGCTGACAAAGGGGATCCTCACTCCCCTCACGCCTCCTTCACGGCAGAGGAAGGGGCTCCTCACTCCCCTGACTCCCCTCAGCCATTGGGAAGGGGCTCCTCATCCCCTCACACCCCTCAGGGCTGAGGAAGGGGCTCCTCATCCCCTCAGAGCCCCCTGGGCCATGGGAAAGGGCTCCTCAATCCTGTCTCACCCCTCACAGCCCCCTCAGGAATGAGGAAGGGGCTGCTCACGCTCCTCTCAGCCCTCACAGATCCCTCACACCCCTCAGGGCTGAGGAAGGGGCTCCTCATCCCCTCACTCCCCTTCACGGCAGAGGAAGGGGCTCCTCATCCCCTGACTCCCCTCAGCCATTGGGAAGGGGCTCCTCATCCCCTCATCCCCTCACTCCCCTCACTCCCCTTCACGGCAGAGGAAGGGGCTCCTCATCCCCTCACTCCCCTCAGCCATTGGGAAGGGGCTCCTCATCCCCTCATCCCCTCACTCCCCTCACTCCCCTTCACGGCAGAGGAAGGGGCTCCTCATCCCCTCACTCCCCTCAGCCATTGGGAAGGGGCTCCTCATCCATCCCCTCACTCCCCTCCACGGCTGAGGAAGGGGTTCCTCACTCCCCTCAGCCCCCACAGCCCCCTGAGCCATGAGGAAGGGGCTCCTCACCCCGTCGCCGCCCTGACCACTCCCTCAGGCCCAGCCCCGATCCCCCCGGTCCCCGATCCCCTCCGCCCTGCCGGCCCGGCCCGGTGCCCCCTCTCCCCCGGTGCCCCCTCTCCCCGGCCCGTACCCGATCGCCCTGCCGGCCTGGTGTCCCCTCTCCCCCGGTGTCCCCTCTCCCCCGGTGTCCCCTCTCCCCCGGTGCCCCCTCTCCCCCGGTGTCCTGCCGGCCCGGCCCGGTGTCCCCTCTCCCCCTGGTGTCCCCTCTCCCCCGGTGTCCCCTCTCCCCCGGTGTCCCCTCTCCCCCGGTGTCCCCTCTCCCCCGGTGCCCCTCTCCCCCGGTGTCCCCTCTCCCCGGCCCGTACCCGAGAGGCCGCCGGCCGCGGCCGTGCCGGGCTGGCGCAGCGCGGGCACGGCGCTCCAGGCGCAGAAGGCCGAGAGGCCGCTCAGGGCGCCGAAGGACGCGTAGGCGACACGGAGCGCCAGGGCCCCGCTCAGCGCCATGGCGGCCTCGGCGCGGCCCGCCCACGGCACCGGGACACGCCCCGGGAACGGGGACGGGAACGGGACACGCCCCGGGAACGGGGACGGGAACGGGACACGGCACCGGGACACGCCCCGGGGACGGGACACGGCACCGGGACACGCCCCGGGAACGGGGACGGGAACGGGACACGCCCCGGGGACGGGACACGGCACCGGGACACGCCCCGGGGACGGGGACGGGAACGGGACACGGCAACGGGACACGCCCCGGGGACGGGGACGGAAACGGGAAAGGGGACGGGACACGGCACCGGGACACGCTCCGGGAACGGGACACGGCACCGGGACACGCCCCGGGAACGGGGACGGGAACGGGACACGGCAACGGGACACGCCCCGGGGACGGGGACACGGCACCGGGACACGCCCCGGGAACGGGAACGGGAACGGGAACGGGAACGGGAACGGGAACGGGAACGGGAACGGGAACGGGAACGGGAGAGGGGACGGGACGCATCCCGTGAACGGGACACGCTTCGGGACAGGGACACGGCACCGGGACACGCCCACAGACACTGGGACACGCCCACGGCCCCGCCCCACAGCAGCGCGCCCCCTGGCGGGCGGGAGGACCGAGGAGGGGACGTGAAGGGACGGGGACATGGCGGGGGGACACGGGGGACACGGGGGGACAACGAAAACACCCAGGGGACACCGGGGGGACACGGAAAACACCGAGGGGACAGGGAGAGACACCGGGGGGACTCCGGGGGAGGACACGGAAAACACCGGGGGACACCGGGGGCGACACCGAAAACACCCAGGGGACACCGGGGGGACACGGAAAACACCGGGGGGACACGGAAAACACCGGGGGGACACGGAAAACACCGAGGAACGTGGGGACACCGCGATCCCGCGGGACACGGGGCTCAGGTGGGGGACACGGGCGACACTGTGGGTTGGGGACATCTCCGATGGCTTTCGCTTCCCCCCGGCCCATCCTGTGGGATTGCGGTCTGGGGACACCTCATCGAAATCCTCGAAGACTTTCTGGGGCTTTCCCGTTCCCTTTTCTGCCTTCCTTTTTCACATTTATTTATTTTTTTTAAACATTCTTCCCCTTTCTGAGCCCTTGGCTGGCTCCGGCTCTGCTTCATCAGAGGACTGGGGCGAGAATGGCATTCTCCCATCTATTTCTCATCATTAATTCATATTTCTCACCATTAATTAATTGTCCCGCGAGCGCCGCGGGGACTGAGCGCTCTCCGAGCCTGGCAATTCGGCTTTTCCCGAAATTTCCCGGCTTCAGCCTCTTCCCAGAGGGTTTTTGGGAATGGGGAAGCTCGGCTGGGCTGCTCTAGATGGCAGCAGCTTCCTTCCCTTCCCTTCCCCGAGCCGCTCTTCATCCACCTCCCACCCCTCCTCCTCCTCGACCCTCGGTGTTCCCCCGTGGAATTCGGGTTTTGGAGGGGTTGGACGGGGCTTGGAGCACCTTGGGACGGTGGAATTGTCCCTGTCCTTGGAAGGGGACAACGTTCCTGCTCCTGCACCCCAGCCCGCAGCTCCCACCCTGCTGAAGGACCCAAAATTCCCCTCAATTTCACCCAAAATTCCTCCCAATTTCACCCAAAATCCCTCCCAATTTCACCCAAAATCCCTCCCCATTTTGATCCAAAATTCCCCCCAATTTCACCCAAAACTCCCCACAATTTGATCCAAAATTCCTTCCCAGTTTGACCCAAAATTCCCCCCCAAAAACCCAGCGAAACCCCAAAACCCCGTGAAAACCCAAAATACCCGTGAAACCCCAAAAACCCAGTGAAACCCCAAAAACCCAGTGAAACCCCAAAAATCCCGGCTGTCCTTGCCCAAGGACTCGCAGCTCCCACCTTGCCAGGGTGAGGTGTGGCTGACGTGGGATTTTAAGCGTAAAAACCTCGAGAGCAGCAAAAAAAAAAAAAAAAAAAAAAAAAAAAGAAAAAAAAAATCCCATTTCCTGTTGTTGCTGCAGGAATTCGGCTCCTGGAGCAGAACGAGCAGTGCCAGGTGAAATCAGCTCTTCGGTTTGTTTTTGGTTTTGTTTTTAATATTTTTGTTGGGTTTTTGTTGTTGTTTTTGTTGTTCTTTTTAGGGTTTTTTGCGTGGTTTTTTTTTTTCTTCTTTGATGTTTTTTGGGGGGGTTGGTTTTTTGGGGGTTTTTTGGGTCTTTTTTATAGTCTTTCTTGTGATTTTTTTGGGGTTTGTTTTAGGGTGCTTTTTTCTGTTTTTATTTTTTTGTTTGGTTTGGTTTCATTTTGGGGTTTTTTTGTTGGGGTTTTTTGTTGTTTGGTTGCATTTTTGTGAGGTTTTTTTGGTGTTTTTTTGAGGGGGGGGTTGTTTTTTTTTTTTAATCAAAGTTCAAATTTAGGCAAGATCAGCAGAAATTCACCCAGGAGGATTTTAAGGAGATAAAATAAATGGAGGGGTTTGGGGGGTGGCTACTCCCACAGATGTGGCAGCCACAGCTGCTCTGGGAATTCCATCCCAGGCCCTCACCACCCTCACGGGGATGGAATTGCACCCCAAATCCTCACGGGGATGGAATCCCACCCCAAATCCTCATGGGAATGGAATCCCACCCCAAATCCTCATGGGGATGGAATCCCACCCCAAATCCTTGCCCCAGGCCCTCACCATCCTCATCCTTATCCCAGGCCCTCACCATCCTCATGGGGATGGAATCCCACCCCAAATCCTCATGGGAATGGAATCCCACCCCAAATCCTCATGGGGATGGAATCCCACCCCAAATCCTCATGGGAATGGAATCCCACCCCAAATCCTCATGGGGATGGAATCCCACCCCAAATCCTCATGGGAATGGAATCCCACCCCAAATCCTCATGGGGATGGAATCCCACCCCAAATCCTTGCCCCAGGCCCTCACCATCCTCATCCTCATCCCAGGCCCTCACCATCCTCATGGGAATGGAATCCCACCCCAAATCCTCGCCCCAATGGCCGTGGGTGGCCCTGCTTCCAGGGACTCTCTGGCAGGAGAAGATGGATTGGATGGAAATGAGGACAGGGAGAGGAGGAGGAGGAGGAGGAGCCACTCCTGCTGAGGAGGGACCCAAAATTGGCTTCCCAGCCCCTCGGCACTGCCCACCTCAGCCGCAGCTCCAGGTGGCACCTGGATTTTCCAGAGCTGTGGACCTTGGCCCCGTTCCCCAGCACCTGGTGGCCAGGTTGCCCAGAGCAGTTTTCCTGGTTCTTGCTCCTGCCCGAGAGCCTCGGGAACAGCTGGGAAACAGCCGGATTTACCGGATGAGGGATCCTTCCTCCTCCTCCTCCTCCTCCTCCTGGGGGCTGGAGCTGGGAACAAAAGGAGGAAAATCATCCGGGATGGGGACAGCCCTGTTTGTTTCCCGAGAGCTGGGAACAGCCTGGAGCTTTATCCAGAGCGTTTGTCCTTGAGGCCTTGTTGTTTTCCCCCTTTTGAAGGAACATTTCAGCTGTGGGAAGAACTGGGATCCAGACCCCAGAAACGTCAGAGACCCAAAGGGGAAGGGAAGAAGGAAAAGTTGAGGAAAAGGGGAGGTCCCAGCCCGTCCTGGTGATAGGAATGGTCACAAATCCCATCCTTGGGAAAAACAAATTCCTTCCTTGGGAAAAATAAATCCCAGTTTTGGGAAAAACAAATCCATCTTTAGGAAAAATAAGTCCCACCTTTGGGAAAAACAAATCTTATCTTTGGGGAAAAAAAAAATCCCATCTTCAGGGAAAAAAATCTCATCTTTAGGAAAAAGAAACAAATCCCATCTTTAGGAAAGGCAAATCCCACCTTTGGGAAAAACCCTGCTTTTCTTTCTCCTCTCTCTGGGTTACGGGTGGGACTCAGTGACCTTAGTGGGCTTTTCCAACCTGAACAATTCCACTTTTCCACGATTTTCTGGATGCTCAGCTCTTGCTGGACTCAGATCTGAGGCGTCTGCAGCTCCTCGGAGACGCAAATCTGGGAATTGTTTCAGGAAGAAGCCGAGCGGGCACGGAAAGACCGGGAGAACAAGACACATCACGTTCCCCAAGCGATAATGAAGGAATGAAATTAAACCACCTGGGAGACCAAAACTCTCCTTCCTCCCTTCCTTCCTTCCTCGGGAACAGCATCCCCTCCACGGCAGCGATTCCTGCCCGAGCCATCACCCGTGGGTGATCCAGAAATGAATCACACCCAGAATTGGGGAATGTGGCTCGGATAATTCCTACAGCTGTTGTTCCAACCCAATAAAACCCGGCATAATAGCAAGGGGTATCCCATAATTTGTGTTAATTCCGGAATTGCTGCTAATTCCGGCCCAATTAGGAGATAAAACACGGTGGTGGAGCCGCTTATTAAATTACAAATCATCCCGGCTAAATCCGAGGATTATTTAACACCGAGGGTTTCGGGAAGACACTCGGGGAAGCTGCGCCAGAATAACGATGTCAGGGGAGCAGGAGCGTTAATCAAAGTAATGAAAACATAAATTAGGGGAGGCTGGGCCAATAAACAGGAAATAAATAGGGTTGGAGGGAGAGAAATACATAAAGCAGCAGCATTAAAGGATAAACCCGCGGTGTTTGGAGCGCTGTAAATTCCCAACCGCTTTCCCCAGGATTGGATTTTCGGGCCTGATTTGTGGCCGTGTCCTGAAGAACCGGGGAGAGAGGATAAATATGGAATATTTCCTGCACCCCCACCTGCCAGCCAAACCCTCCTGGGGGACACCGAGAGCATTCCCAGGTTCCTCCTGGAATTTCGGCTGTGCCAAGGGACGAGACCCGGCCGCTGATTCCCAGCAAATGGAGCCAAAATAAGGGATGGAATGGAAATATTGGGATTTAACTCCGATTTCACTTCATTCTGCACTTGAGGGGATTCTGCAAACCCACTTTAGGATTTGGGATCTCGGGAAGAGCTTCCTGCTCAGCAGGGTGGTGAGGCCAGAGCTGCCCCACAGCCACGCGGAGCTCGGCAGGGACGCGGGATTAATTAATGATTGTCCAAGCGCGAGCCAAAGCAGCGATAAGAGGCTGATAAGGCAGAGGTGGCGGGGCAGGAGCGGCTGCTCCCAGCGATCCGGAGCCGGGCAGGCGGAGCAGCCCCGGGAACGGCCGGGATCGGTGACCCCGAGCCCGGGAAGGGCAGCGGGGGCACCGGGGGCGGTGGGATTCTCCGTGTCTGGAGCGGGAGGAGCGACCAGCGGGCTCAGGGACACCCCAGGGACTCCTCGGGGATGTGCGAAATGGATTTGTAGAAAACTTGATGGGCCAAGAAATGCTTATGTGCTATAATTATATGATACATAGTATTATATATATAATTACATAGCTATATAATAGTTTAAATATTAAAATTAAAGGCACAATATGTTAAATATTAACATTTTAAATTAAATTTATATTATATTTATTATAAATGTTATGTTACATTGTTATGTTATGTTATGTTATGTTATGCTATGTTATGTTATATATATGATATAATGTATTATTGCTGGCTCTGGGGTGGGATGGATTGGGATGGGATGGGAAAGGGTGGGATAGGATAGAGTGGGACAGGAACGGGACTGGAATGCGGGTGGAAGCCCCGGGCAGGACAGGAGCCGCCCGCGGTCCCCCCGCGGGGCCGGGAAGGGCTCCTCTCCTTCGGCGGCCGGGGTGGGGCTGCCCGGGCTCCGGGAGCTGCTGCCTTCCTCAGGCCTCTTCCTCCTTCTCTTAATTAGCCCTGATTTGCATGGGGGACGTGTCTGTGCACGGCCGGGATCCCGGGCCCGGCCGAGGGGAGAGCCCCGGCAGCAGCTCCGGGGCCCCGGGGCGGCTCCGGGGGGACCCCGGCCCGGGGCGGTTCCTGCGGTCCCGGAGCCTCCAGAATCCCGGGAAAAGCCTCCCCGGCCTCCAGGGGGAGGGATCGGGGCGGGGGGAAGGATCAGGATCATGTTCCTGTCCTGGAAGGACAGATTTGGGGACCCCGGGGTGACCCCCGGAGCCTCTGGGGTGCCTGGGCAGGAGCGGCAGCAGGGGAGGCTCAAGGCTCTTTCCCTAAATTCCTCGAATCCAGCTGATGTTTCCCATCCCTGCTCTAGCTGGCGTGGGGGCGGATTTAAAGGCAGATTTGAATTCTAGAAATTGGGATTTCATTGAGAAGTGAAGGCTCTTTTTGGCAGAAACACCTTTCCTTTTTTGCCAAAAACCCCAGCAAAAGCTCTCCCAGGGCCGCCGGGCCTCGCTCCAGCTTTGCTGCTCTGGCTGAGGGCTGGGGGCCACCTCCCAGTCTGAGCCATTCCCAGTCTGAGCTGTTCCCAGTATGAGCCATTCCCAGTACAAACCATTCCCAGTGCAAACCATTCCCAGTGTGAACCATTCCCAGTATGAGCCATTCCCAGAGTGAACCATTCCCAGTATGAACCATTCCCAGTCTGAGCCATTCCCAGTGCAAACCATTCCCAGTCTGAGCCATTCCCAGTATGAACCATTCCCAGTCTGAGCCATTCCCAGTCTGAGCTGTTCCCAGTATGAGCCATTCCCAGTACAAACCATTCCCAGTACAAACCATTCCCAGTATGAACCATTCCCAGTCCAAACCATTCCCAGTCCAAACCATTCCCAGTGTGAACCATTCCCAGTATGAACCATTCCCAGTCTGAGCTGTTCCCAGTATGAGCCATTCCCAGTACAAACCATTCCCAGTATGAACCATTCCCAGTCCAAACCATTCCCAGTCCAAACCATTCCCAGTGTGAACCATTCCCAGTATGAACCATTCCCAGTCTGAGCCATTCCCAGTATGAACCATTCCCAGTACAAACCCCCCTCCCTCTTCCCAGTCTGAACCATTCCCAGTCTGAGCCGTTCCCAGTGCAAACCATTCCCAGTACAAACCCCCCTCCCTCTTCCCAGTCTCTCTGGCTCCCGTTTTCCCCCCACCAGGCTGAGCAGGGCAGGGGAGCCCCCTGTGACCCCCCAAACCCCAGATTTGAGGTGCTCAGGGACCCCTGGAGACGCCCAAACCCCAGGCCCGGGGTCCCGGGGGTCCGGGGGTCCCGGGGTCCCGGTGTCCCGGGGCTGGGGGCTGTGCCTCCCCGCAGCCGCGGGGTCCCGGTGCGGGGCCGTGGGAGCCGGGGAGGGGCCGCGGGCGGAGCTGCGGTGCCCGGGGCGGTCCCGGCGCGGCGGCGGCGGCGGCGGAGCCGCTCCCGAGCCCGGCCCCGTCCCGAGGAGCGGCGGAGCAGCCCCGGCGCCGCGGCCGCGATGGCCTCGGCCCCCCCCGCCGCCGCCGCCGCATGAAGGTGCGCGGGGCCGGGCCCGGGGCAGCGGCCGGGGGGGCGCGGAGGGGCGCGGGGCCGGGGCCAGCGGGGCCGGAGCCGGGAAGCGCCCCCCCGCAGCCCCCCGGGGGTCCCGGCGCGGACGGAGCCCGGCTCTCGGGGCTGCTCAGGAAGATGCACTTGTTCCGGAGCTCCAGCTACGAGGTGCGGCTGGAGGGGGCCGGGGGGAGCCTGCCCCGCATCCAGGGAATCCGCTGGGTGAGTGGGGAGAGGGGGAGCGTGTCCCCAAATCCGCTGGGTGAGTGGGGAGAGGGGGAGCGTGTCCCCAAATCCGCTGGGTGAGTGGGGAGTGAGGGGAGTGTGTCCCCAAATCCGCTGGGTGAGTGGGGAGAGGGGGAGCGTGTCCCCAAATCCGCTGGGTGAGTGGGGAGTGAGGGAGCGTGTCCCCAAATCCGCTGGGTGAGTGAGGCCAGGGGGAGCGTGTCCCCAAATCCGCTGGGTGAGTGGGGCTGGGGTCTCCCCAGCCCCGGGAATCCGGGGATCAGAGGAGGGGAGTGAATCCAGGCGTGCAGGGAGCCGTGTGAGGGTGCAGGAGCCAGGTGAGGGCACAGGCAGTGGAGGCAGGCGGGCAGGTGAGGGTACCGAGCCAGGTGAGGGCACAGGGAGGGGAGGCAGGCGGGCAGGGGAGGGTACCAGGAGCCAGGTGAGGGCACAGGCAGTGGAGGCAGGCGGGCAGGTGAGGGTACCGAGCCAGGTGAGGGCACAGGGAGGGGAGGCAGGTGGGCAGGGGAGGGTACCAGGAGCCAGGTGAGGAAGGGAGGGAGGGAGGGAGGAAGGAGGCGAGGGCACACAGGAGTGAATTCAGGCGTGCAGGGAGCCAGGTGAGGGCACGAGGGGCAGGTGAGGGCACGAGGGGCAGGTGGGGCTGCAGGTGAGCTGTGCAGGCTGCGCACTTCCCCAGCCTGGCCCCGGAACGAGCGGCCAGGCGTGAAGGCAGCCGGTGCCAGGTGCCCGGGGCACATCCCAGCAGGAAGGACATTCCTGGTGGGACATTCCCGGTGGGACATTCCCAGTAGGACATTCCCGGTGGGACATTCCTGGGGGAACATTCCCAGTGGGACATTCCTGGTGGGACATTCCCGGTGGGACATTCCTGGGGGAACATTCCCGGTGAGACATTCCCGGTGGGACATTCCCGGTGGGACATTCCTGGGGGAACATTTCTGATGGGACATTCCCGGTGGGACATTCCTGGGGGAACATTCCCGGTGGGACATTCCCGGTGGGACATTCCCGGGAGCGTTCCCCAGCTCCCACAGCAGGGATTCATCCCCCGGCATCACATCCTCCCTGCTGGCACCGGGATTTTGGGGCATCCCGGGGGTCCCGGGCCCTGCTCCTGGCCCCTCGTTGTCCCCTCTAGGCAGGAAGGTGACCCCAGAGTCCTGCAGAGTTCCGGAGCTTTGTGTCCTTCCCCTTCCCACGCTGCTTGACCTGGGACAATTTCAAGAAAAAAGTGGAATTATTTTAGGGGACAACTCCCCTTTGGGCATTTCCGTGCAGCACAGAGCCTCCTTCCCAGATAAGAGCTTCCCTTGCTTTTTCCTCATCGTCCCGATTTATTTTTCTCTCCAAAACTTTGAGGAATGGACTTTGGGGAGGGCTTTTGAGGGGCACTAAGCATGGGAAGGCGGGCGAGCAGCAGGCCTGGAGCATCCCTGGGATAAACTGGGATCAGTCCCAGCAGCCCTGGCAGCAGCGGCACCTGTGGCATCGCAGGAGTGTCCCCTCTGCCAGGGACACCCGGGGGGCGAGGAGACTGGAGCCAGCAGGGAAAGGGGGATTTTGTGCAGCACAGCCATTCCTGGGGCAGGTGAGCGGCAGGGAAGTGCCTCAGGAGCCACATATTGTCCCTTGTCCCCTGGAAACTCCTCCCGGCGTCCTGGCTCCGTCTCATCCCCCGGGGGATCTGATCCCAGCGCCAGCGAATCCCTCCCGGCTGTCCCCAGGCGGCCCCGTCCTCCCCGGGGACAAGTGCCACCGTGCCAGCCACAAGTGCCACCGTGCCAGCCACAAGTGCCACCGTGCCAGCCCCCGCCGTGTCCCTGGCGAGGACAGCAGAGCTGCAGCGGGTACCCGAGCCCCGTCCCGGGGGCTGCCGAGATCAATTCCGGTTACACCGAGCCCCTTCCCGGGGGCACCGAGCCCCTTCCCGGGGTCACCGAGCCCCTTCCCGGGGGCACCGAGTCCCTTCCCGGGGGCACCGAGCCCCTTCCCGGGGTCACCGAGCCCCTTCCCGGGGCACACCGAGCCCCTTCCCGGGCACACCGAGCCCCTTCCCGGGGGACACCGAGCCCCGGCCGCGGCCGCGCCTGCGGAGGCTGCGGGGGCTGCGGATGGGCGCGGACTTTCTCCGGAGCCGAGGCCCGAAATAGCCGCGTTGTTTTCCTCGGGATCCCAAACAAAAGCGGCCGCGGGCGCGGAACGGCCGGCGGCGGCCTTGGCCGGGCGCCCGGTGCTGCCGGAATCCCGGGGAACGGCAGGATCCCGGCGTGGCCCGTGGGCAGGAAGATGGAAAAGGCGACTCCTTAGGAAGCTGCTTGGAGCCAGGCCGTGACAAGGAGAGGGGGTGGGGGGCGTCCTGCAGGTCCCGACCTCTCCGGGGAGGGGCTGTGGGGACAACGGGAGGGTTGGGGTGATCCCAGAGCTGTCCCGGCGGAGAGGAACCCCCGGGAAGGAGGAATCTGATCCTTGAGAGGGTTTTTGTGTCTCTTTCGGTGTCCTTGGAGCGTGGCCTGGGGCACAGCCTGGCTCTGTGCCCCAAGGACAGAGCTCGCTGCGGGGGACACCAGAGGCCCTTTGGGGCCCTGGGCAGCGGGACCCGCGGGGTGGCACCTGGACCCACGGGGTGGCACCTGGACCTACGGGGTGGCACCTGGACCCGTGGGGTGGCACCTGGACCCACGGGGTGACACCTGAACCCGTGGGGTGGCACCTGGACCCACAGGGTGACACCTGGACCCGTGGGGTGACACCTGGACCCGCGGGGTGGCACCTGGACCCACAGGGTGACACCTGGACCCGTGGGGTGGCACCTGGACCCGTGGGGTGGCACGAACCTCCTGCTCCCACAAGTGACAGGGACCTCCTGCACCGACACAGATCTCCTGTTCCCACGGGTGACAGGGACATCCTACACCCACAGGGTGACAGGAACATTGTGCCCCCACAGAGGTGCCGAGGACACCCTTCACCCATGGGTGCCAGGGACCTCCTGCTCCCACGAGGTGACAGATTTCCTGCTCCCAGGGGTGACAGAGCCCTGTGGCTCCCACGGGTGCCACCTCCGTGCCCCGGAGCAGCCCCACGCCCCGGCCGCCTCCCGCTCCCCTTGGCAAACATTTGCTGGGAGCGGTTCCTGCTCCCCGCGGCCGTCACGGGCTCGCAGAGTTTGCAGAGCGCCTGAGTCACCGTGGCCCTGCCTTGGGGACACTGTGGCCCAGCTCTGGTGGCACCGCGGCCAGGTGACACACGTCCCCCGGGACCTGCAGCGGCCCCAGAGCCGCTCGTGTCCCACCGCCTCCTCCAGTTCCTCCCGAGCTCGCTGCGAAGTGCTGGGAGCAGGTGGAGGCTCAGCCTCGCCGATCCCGCACTTATTAATTCCCGCACTAATTAACTTCTGCCTTCCTTAATTGGAAATCCATCCGGACCATCCCCCTGCGCTGGGATCGCTCCAGCCTCCCCCGCCCGGAGCCTGCAGAGCCCGGGAAGATCCTGCGGACGCCGCTTTTTGGGTGCTCCCGGGAGCTGCGGGGCCCCCACAGCGGGAATACCCGGAGGGGACCCCAAAGTGCCCCTGGGGGTCCCCCCGAGCGGGTGGGTGTCCCTGGGGGGGCGGCCGAGCCCCGTGCCGGGTGAGCGCTCCCGGTGCCACCGGGAACTGGTCTGACGGGTGCGGGCCCAGCTGGTCTGTCCCGGGCCGTGGCCGGGATCCGCTGGGGGGTCTCGGGCCCTGCGGCAGCGCCGGTACCGGGGCTCGGCCGCCTCTGCCCCCCCCGAGCCCGGCGGGGCCGCGGGGACGGCGGCTCGTCCCTCCGCGCCTTTGTTTTTTCACCTGGAGCATCTCCGAGTGACACAGCCGGGAGAGAAATGAGCTGGAGAGGGGAGCTGGATCAGGAAATGGGTGCTGGGGTCAGGATTTGGGTGATGGAGTCAGGATTTGGGTCCTGGGGTCAGGATTTGGGTGCTGGATTCAGGATTTGGGTGATGGAGTCAGGATTTGGGTCCTGGGGTCAGGATTTGGGTGCTGGATTCAGGATTTGGGTGCTGGTTCAGGATTTGGGTGCTAGGGTCAGGATTTGGGTGCTGGGGTCAGGATTTGGGTGCTAGGGTCAGGATTTGGGTGCTGGTTCAGGATTTGGGTGATGGAGTCAGGATTTGGGTGATGGATTCAGGATTTGGGTGCTGGTTCAGGCTCTGGCTGCTGGGTTCAGGATTTGGGTGCTGCCCCCTCCCCTGCTGAAGAGCTGGGGCTGCTCTGGGGGTGCCAGAACCCCCCCCCCCCAAAGCTGTGTGGGGCGATGGGGACACAGCAGAGCCCCCACAGCCCCCAACCCCCTCCCCTCTGGTTTTCCAGACCCCTCTCCTGGACTCGGAATCCAGCCTGGACTATGGCCACAGCATCACGCAGGTGGGGGGGCCGGGGAAGCCCCCGGGGACTGAATTTGGGGAGGTGGGGGGGGTGAGGGGCTGGAGCACCCCGACACCCCGGCACCATCGGGGTGCTCCTTGGGCTGGGCCATTGCTGGGGTGGGCAGTGGCGATCCCAGGGCTCTGGGGGGAGCGGTGACAGCCCAGCCCCCCACCCACGACCTCCCTTGTCCCCCTGCCACCCTCAGGCGTCCTCGGAGAGGGTCTGGAGGGCTGGAAAACTCCTCTTCGCCCACCTCAGCAGCTCCCGGCCCGGCCTCATCCGCGACCACAAACACCACCTGCGGCACCACCGGTGCGACGGGGGCTGGGGGGGCCCCGGGGGGCTCCGGGGGGGCTGTCCCGGGGGGTCTCACCCCCTGTCCCGCCCCAGGCAGTGCTGCTCGGGGAAGGACTTGGTGGATTGGCTGCTGAGCGCCGGTGCAGCCGTCCAGACGCGCGGCCAGGCCGTGGGCATCGGGCAGGTGCTGGTGGACGGAGGGGTCCTGACGCACGGTGAGGCTCTGGGGGGCTCTGGGGGGCTCTGGGGGGCTCTGGGGGGGGGGGCAGAGCCGAGTTAACAGCCACTCTGCCCCGCAGTGAGGCAGGAGTGGCACTTCCAGGACAAGGAGACGCAGTTCTATCGCTTCGCCGAGCTGGAGCTGAGCCCCGAGCCCGGCGCGGGGCCGCGGGACCCCGAGGAGCTGCTGGAGGCTTTGGGGTTCCTGGCCCAGCTGGGCCCCGACGCTCTGCTCTCCATGGCCCTGCGCAAGCCGTGAGTGCCCCGGGGCCGGGGGGGCTCCTTTGCACCTTCTGGGATCTTTTTGGACCCTTCTCGGGGGTCTGGAGCAGCCGCGGGGTCGCTGCAGGGGGGTGAGGCAGCGATGTCCCCCGAGGGCTGGGGAGGGGGCTGGGGAGGGGGGCTGGGGAGGGGGCTGTGCCCTGGTGGGGGGCACAGGGAGCCGCTGAGCCCCCGGCCCCCCCAGGCCTGCCCAGCGCACGCAGGACGAGCTGGAGCTGATCTTTGAGGAGCTGCTTCACATCAAAGCCGTGGCTCATCTCTCCAACTCGGTGAGCGCCGCCGCGTCCCCAAACCCTGCGGGGTGGGGATGTCCCCTGGGCCCCAAATCCTCCTGCCCCCCCATCGATTCCTGTCCTGGCGTCCTCCCCTGCTCCCCAAATCCTTCTGCACCCCTTTCCTTCCTATCCAATCATCCCTTCCCGATCTTCCTGTGCCTCCCTGGGCGCCTTCCCCGACATCTCCCGTGTCCCCTGCCGGCCCAGCCGGTGACAGCGCTGTCCCCTGGCGGTGTCCCCTTGTCCCCTGCCGGCCCAGCCGGTGACAGCGCTGTCCCCTGGCACAGGTGAAGCGGGAGCTGGCGGCCGTGCTGATGTTCGAGGGGCACCAGCGCGCGGGCACCGTCCGTGAGTCGCCGGGGGCACCGGGGGTCCCCAGCCTGGGGACACCGGAGCCGTTCCCAAAATTGTGGCTTTCCCTCCCCTCCCCCCACTGTCCCAGTGTTCAGCCAAGGTGACAAAGGCACCTCCTGGTACATCATCTGGAAGGGCTCGGTCAACGTGGTCACCCACGGCAAGGTGGGTTTGTCCCCACGCCAGAGGGACACCTTGGGGACACTCCGGGGACACCCCAATGCCACCAACTGCCACCTCTGCAGGGCTTGGTGGCCACCCTGAACTGCGGGGACACACAGGGGACACCCCAATGCCACCAACCCTCACCCCCCGTGTTGTCCCCAGGGCTTGGTGGCCACCCTGAACTGCGGGGACACACAGGGGACACCCCAATGCCACCAACGCTCACCCCCCGTGCTGTCCCCAGGGCTTGGTGGCCACCCTGAACTGCGGGGACACACAGGGGACACCCCAATGCCACCAACGCTCACCCCCCGTGCTGTCCCCAGGGCTTGGTGGCCACCCTGCACGAGGGGGACGACTTCGGGCAGCTGGCACTGGTGAACGACGCCCCACGGGCGGCCACCATCCTCCTGCGCGAGGACAATTGTCACTTCCTGCGCGTGGACAAACAGGACTTCAACCGCATCCTCAAGGTGGGCCCGGGGGCTCCGTTCCCCGCCGGTTTTGGGGGGTTTTTGGGGGGATTTTGGGGGGATTTTGGGGGGGTTTTGGGGGGTTTTTGGGGAATCCCGGCCGGGCTGACAGCGGGATTGTCCCCCAGGACGTGGAGGCCAACACGGTGAGGCTGAAGGAGCACGGCAAGGTGGTGCTGGTGCTGCAGAAGGACCTGCAGGGGGGCAGCGGCCAGGCGGCCTCGGCGCGGAGCAGCAGGTGACACCGCTGTGCCCCCGTGGCAGGTGACACACTTGTCCCTGTCCCTGTCCCCTGGTGGCAGGTGCCACCCCTGTCCCCTGAGCCGCCCCCTCTGCCCTTTCCAGCCTCCCTCGGGGCAGTTTTTGGGAGGAACAAGGGGATGAGGAGCAGGGACACCGGCCCGTGGTGGCACCGCTGGCACCAGCTGTCACCTCTGCCCCTCCTGTCCCCAGCAGGTACCTGGTGATGGCCGGGACGCCCGAGAAGATCCTGGAGCACCTGCTGGAGTTCATGAGGCTCGATGCCACCCTCTACGACCCCGTGGGTAGGTGGGGGTGTCCCCCCTGCGTGGGGGTGTCCCCCTGCGCCGGGGACCGTCCCAGAGCCACCCAGAGGGGACAGACGGGGGAGTGGCACCGAGCGGGGCTCCTCATTCCCGGTGTCCAACCCCAAATCCCGCTCGTGCCACCCTAAAACCCCCAAAAGCCGAGGCCGGGAGAGGGCGGCAGCTCCGGGGCGGGGAGCGGCCGCTCCGCCGCGCCTCTCGGTCTCCCTCTGCCTTCGGAGAGGAGAAACCCGGGCGAGCCGGGAGCCAGGAGATGTCCCCAGCGGGTCACAGATCCCGGCCGGGGACACCGGCGCTGCCTGGGAGCCGATCCCCGGGATTTGTGTTCCCTCCCCGGGGTTCGTGTTCCCCCCCTGCATCCCCGGGATTTGCGATCCGGCCCCTCCCGCGGGCTTTAGGAACAGAATCTGCCCCGCCACCAGCGGGGTCCCCGTGGTGGGGACACCCCAGACCACCCTGGGGCCACCCCAGGCAGGGCACGGGGGGTTCTTGGCTGGGTCCCCGTGGTGGGGACACCCCAGGCCACCCCAGGCAGGGCACGGGGGGTCCTTGGCTGGGTCCCCGTGTCCCCAGGCGCTGGGGACAGGAGTGACGGTGCTCGGTCCCTCTCAGACACGCTGCTGGGGGATTTCCTGCTCACCTACACCGTGTTCATGCCGACCTCGCAGCTCTGCCGGGCCCTGCTGCACCAGTATCCTTCTGAGCAGGAACTGGGGGGACTGGGCTCCACCACAGGCTGGGGACACGCTCAGCCCTGTCCCTGTCACCTCGTGGGGAGCCCCAAATCCCCTTTTAGTGCTCTTGGGCGCATCCCCATCTCCCGGGGTGACATCCCTGGGGGCTCCCTACCCCTCTCCACGTTTTACTGGTCCTTGACTGGTCCCAGTTTCCGCGCGGAGCCGCTGGAGGGTTCGGAGCAGGACAAGGCCGCCTATTCCCTGCGCAAGCGGCGGAAAATCCTGCGGCTCGTCAGCCAGTGGGTGCTGCTCTACGGGCGGCTGCTGCAGGGCGACCGCAGCACCACGGCGCTGCTGCAGGTACGGCCAGGGCGACACGGCGACACGGTGACACGGCGACACGGTGACACGGCGGGACCGCCCCGCGCTCACCCCCGCGCCCCTGTCCCCGCAGAACCTGGCGGACCTGGCGAGCCGGGACCCCGAGCTGGGCGGGCTGGGCCAGGAGCAGGGCCAGGAGCGGCGGCGACCCCGAGCGTGAGTCCCCTCGTGTCCCCTCGTGTCCCCCCGGTGTCCCCTCGTGTCCCCCCGGTGTCCCCCCGGTGCCCCCAGTGTCCACCGGTGTCCCCTCATGTCTCCCCGGTGTCCCCCCGGTGTCCCCCCGGTGTTGCCCCGGTGTCCCCTCATGTCCCCCCAGTGTCCCCCCGGTGTCCCCCGCGGGTGGCACTTCCGCGGGGAGGAGTTTTTGGGGCGGCTCTGGTGCCACCTTGTCCCCGGTGAGGGTGTCCCCGGCCGTGGGGAGGGTGGCACAGGCAGGCGGGTGGGACAGGGGGGCTCGGAGGTGGCCGCAGCCCCCGGAGTGCCGGTCCCGGTTCTGTTCCCACCGGGAACGGCGGCTCCATCCTCCCCCGTCCCCTCCCGCAGGCTGGAGAACGGAGACGGCAGCGTGTCCCCCCAGCCCAAGGTAGGGACCCCCTGAGGGGGCACAGGGCAGGATCTGGGTCCCCTCTGCCCTTTGGGGACGCGCCCAGCGGGGCGGTGGCAGCGGCCGCGTCCTCCCGCCTGTCCCCCCCAGGCCCGGAGCTCGGGGATGCGGCTCGGGAGCCCCGAGGAGGCGATCCCGGACAGCAGCTGCGCCCTGAGAGCCCAGGACAAAGGTAGTGCCCCCACGGAGGGGACTGTCCCCCGCGGCGTGGGGACACTGATGTCCCTTTGTGCCCTCCAGTGCCCTACGAGATCTTCAGGGCCGACCACTCGTGCGTGGCGCCGGTGCTGCCCGTGAACGCCGCGGTGCGGGACGTGCTGCGGGCCCTGGCGCCGCGGCTGCGCCGGGACCGGGAGCACGTCCTGGTCAGGGTGAACTCGGCCGGAGGTGAGGGGACTCGGGGACACCCCGGGGTGGCCTTGTCCCCGTGGCCAGCCGGGATCTGTGCCCGCTCCATGCCGCCCGCCCTTCCCTGCCCGCAGAGCGCGCGGTGCTGCCGCAGGACGCCGTGGGGGTGTTCACGGCGCTGGGCCTCAACGAGAGGCTCTTTGTGGTCAGCAGGGACGAGCTGGGCACCCTGGTGAGTGTGGGGTGGGGGTCCGGGGTGGGCAGCACCGGGCGGGCCCCCCAGAGGGGTTGGGGGGTGCTGTGCCTCGGTTTGGGGCACGGCAGGATGGGTCAGGGGTCCTGTGCTGTGCCCAGACCCCCCACCCTGAGCAGCTGGGCCCCCACGCCGGCTCCTCCGACACCCTGGACCTGATCAGCTCCAAGGAGCTGGCCAGCCACCTGACCGACTACGACTGGAACCTCTTCAAGAGCATCCACCAGGTGGGGAGACATGCACTGGGTGGGGGGGACATGCCCCAGGTGAGGGGGACATGCCCCAGGTTGGGGGGACATGCACAAGGTGGGGGGGACATGCCCCAGGTGGGGGGACACGCCCCAGGTGGGGGACATGCCCCAGGTGTCCCCGGCAGCGCGGCGGGCTGGGGGGGCTCGGGGTGCCCCTCACCTGCCCCTCTGGCAGGTGGAGATGATTCACTACATCGTGGGGCCGCACAAGTCCCACGAGGTCGCCACGGCCAACCTGGCGCGGGTGATGCGGCGCTTCAACGAGCTGCAGTTCTGGGTGGCCACCGAGCTGTGCCTGTGCCCCGAGCTCGGGCGGAGGGCGCAGCTCCTCCGCAAGTTCATCAAGCTGGCGGCGCAGTGAGTCCCTGTCGCTGTCCCCGTCCCCGTGTCCCCATCACTGACCCATCCCCGTGTCCCCATCACTGACCCATCCCCGTGTCCCCATCGCTGTCCCCGTCACCGTGTCCCCATCACTGTCCCCGTCCCCGTGTCCCCATGGCTGACCCATCCCCATGTCCCCATCACTGTCCTCATCCCCGTGTCCCCATCACTGTCCCCATCCCCCTGACCCCATCGCTGACCCGTCCCTGTGACCCCATGGCTGACCCGTCCCCGTCCCCGCCTGCAGCCTCAAGGAGCAGAAGAATCTGAATTCCTTCTTCGCGGTGATGTTCGGTGTGAGCAACACGGCCGTGACTCGCCTGGCCAAGACCTGGGAGGTGACAGCGGGGGGACAGCAGGGGGGTCATGAGGGGGGGGACAGCCCCTGGGGAGGGGCAGCCGGGGGTCTCTGGGTGGGACGGGCAGGTACCAGCCCCGTGATCCCGTCCCTGCACAGAGGCTGCCCCACAAGATTCGGAAGCTGCACTCGGCCCTGGAGAGGATGCTGGTGAGTGCAGCCCACCCTGCCCGTGTCCCCTCCCCACCCCGTGTCCCATCCCCTCCCTGTGTCCCCTTCCCCACCCCATGTCCCCTCCCCTCCCCGTGTCCCCTCCTCTCCTCACACCATGTCCCCTTCCCCTCCCCGTGTCCCCTTCCCAGTGGGATTTGCCCCTGGAGCAATGGGGAGGGGGTGTTGCTGTCCCCCCCTGTCCCCTCCATCCCCGTGTCCCCCTTCCCAGTGGGATTTGCCCCTGGAGCAATGGGGAGGGGGTGTTGCTGTCCCCCCCTGTCCCCTCCCTCCCCGTGTCCCTGCCTGTCCCCAGGACCCCTCGTGGAACCACCGTGTCTATCGCCTGGCCATGGCCAAGCTGAGCCCCCCCATCATCCCCTTCGTGCCCCTGCTGCTCAAAGGTGGGTGTCGGCTTTTGGGGACCCCCTGGGTGTGTCCAGCCCTCCATGGGCCCCGCTCTGACCCCTAAACCCCCCCAGACATGACCTTCATCCACGAGGGCAACCGCACCCTGGCCGAGAACCTCATCAACTTCGAGAAGATGGTGAGTGGGGTGGTGGCCCCGTCCCCCGGCACGCAGAGCTCTGCCACTGGAACCCCAGGGGTGTCCCGGCGCGGTCACAGCCGTGGCAGGGACAGGTTTTTGGGGATCCAGGCGGGGCCAGGTGGCAGCAGGTGACCTCTGTGCCTCACCCGCAGCACATGATGGCAAAGACCGTTCGAGTCCTGCAGCGCTGCCGGGGCCACGCGCACGGTGAGTGCCCCGGGGAGCCGGGGAGGGGGCCTGGACAGGGCCCTGGGGACAGGGCTGAGCCCCTGGGGACACAGCTGAGCCCCTGGGGACACAACTGAGCCCCTGGGGACAGGGGGACACGGCTGAGCCCCTGGGGACACAAGTGAACCCCTGGGGACACGGCTGAGCTTCTGGGGACACAGCTGAGCCCCTGGGGACACAGCTGAGCCCCTGGGGACAGGGGGACAGGGCTGAGCCCCTGGGGACAGGGCTGAGCCCCTGGGGACAGGGACAGGGACAGGGCTGAGCCCCTGGGGACAGGGACAGGGACAGGGCTGAGCCCCTGGGGACAGGGCTGAGCTTCTGGGGACAGGGCTGAGGCCCTGGGGACAGGGGGACAGGGCTGAGCCCCTGGGGACAGGGACAGGGACAGGGCTGAACCCCTGAGGACAGGGACAGGGCTGAGCCCCGGGGGACAGGAACAGGGACAGGGCTGAGCCCCTGGGGACAGGGACAGGGCTGAACCCCTGGGGACAAGGGACAGGGACAGGGCTGAGCCCCTGGGGACAGGGACAGGGACAGGGACAGGGACAGGGACAGGGACAGGGACAGGGACAGGGACAGGGCTGAGCGCCGGGGGACAGGGACAGGGACAGGGCTGAGCCCCTGGGGACAGGGACAGGGACAGGGACAGGGACAGGGACAGGGACAGGGACAGGGCTGAGCCCCTGGGGACAGGGACAGGGACAGGGACAGGGCTGAGCCCCGCTCTCTCTGTCCCCCCAGCGCCGCTGTCCCCGCTGCGGAGCCGCTCCCCGCACCGGCCCGAGGACGCCAAGGCCGTCAGGATCTCCACGTGTGCGTCTGGAGTTCCCCAATCCGACCCCTCCCCCGGTTCCAGGGGACCCCCAACCCTCTGCAGGGGTCCCCGAGCTGAGGGAGAGGCGATGGAGACAGAGAATCCATGGAGGGATGCAGCAGCCAGTGCTGGGTGGGGGGAGGTTTGGGGGGACACGGGGGAGGCCGGGGTGGTCCTGCAGGGATGGAGGGGCTCAGGGGGCTGTGCTGGGGGCACGGAGGGGACCCCGGCCCTGATCTCATCCCTCCCCACAGGCTCGGAGCAGTCGCTGAGCGCGCGCAGCCCCGTGTCCACCTGGGCCTACCTGCAGCACCTGAGGGCCATCGACAGCCAGAAGGAGCTGCTGAGGCTGTCCCGGGAGCTGGAGCCCTGAGGGAGCGGGGCCGGAGCGGGGCCGGGGCCGGGAGCGGGCCTGGGACCCAGGAGAGGATGGGGGACCGGAGAGGGGATGGGGGCTGCAATGGGGATGGGGGCCCGGGATGGGGATGGGGCCCGAAGCAGGGACAGGGCTCTGGAGTGAGGACGGGGGTCCAGAGCGGGGATGAGTACCCAGAATGGGGATGGGGACCTGGAGTGAGGATGGGGGTCTGGAGCAAAGATGGGTTCCCAAATTTCCCATGTGAGAGTCCTGAGGATGAGGGACCGGAGAGGGGATGGGGACCTGGAATAGGGACGGGGGCCAGGAATGAGGATGGGAGCCCAGAGTGAGGATGGGGGACCAGAGAGGGGATGGGGTCCGGAATGGGGGCCTAGAGCAAAGATGGGGGTCCAGAACAGGGATGGGGAACCAGACCAAGAATGAGGCACCAGAGCGAGGATGGGGGCCCAAAATTGAGATGGGGGCCCTGAGTGAGGATGGGGGCCCAGCTGCTGGCAGTGGGGCAGCCCCTGGCTCTGCTTCCAGTGGCCCTGGGCTGTGCTGGAGCTGTCCCAGAGCTCAGCCATGGGCTCGGACCCGGCCCTGGGCTGTGCTGGAGCTGCTCCAGAGCTCAGCCATGGACTCAGGGCTGTGCTGGAGCCGCCCCGGAGCTCAGCCATGGGCTCAGATCCAGCCCCAAGCTCTGCTGGAGCTGTCCCAGAGCTCGGCCATGGGCTCAGACCCGGCCCTGGGCTGTGCTGGAGCCGCCCCAGAGCTCAGCCATGGGCTCAGACCCGGCCCTGGGCTGTGCTGGAGCCGCCCCAGAGCTCAGCCATGGGCTCAGGGCTGTGCTGGAACTGCCCCAGAGCTCGGCCATGGGCTCAGACCCGGCCCTGGGCTCTGCTGGAGATGCCCCAGAGCTCGGCCATGGGCTCAGGGCTGTGCTGGAACTGCCCCAGAGCTCGGCCATGGGCTCAGACCCGGCCCCGTGGGGCAGCCGGGCCCCGGTGAGCTGCGGGCAGGTGAGGGTGGAGCAATAGAGGTATTTTTGTACTCACGGCTGCGCTCCCCGTTCTTCTCCGAGCTTGGGGTCACCCCCTGCTCCTGCACCCCCAGTGTGACCTGCAGCAGCCCCAGGGGAGGTGACACAGCGCTGGCAGCAGCAGGGGACAGGTCAGGAAATGACTGAGGGCTGAGGGAGAAGCCAAACCCGGCCCTTATTACACCAAACGCCGCTCCCGTGCCAGCTGGCACCGCCTGGGCACAGCGGGGACCGCTCCCTGCCCCGGGAGGGATCCCGGGGATCGCCCCGGCTCCTCGGGGGCTGCTGGAGGTCGGGTCTCACCTGCCCAGGTGTGGGGCACGGGGTTGAGCCTCTCCTTGGGTGGGGGACACGCTGTGCTGGGGCTCCCAAAGCACCGGGGCCATGTGCCGGGGGCTGCCCCAGGACCCCCCAAATGCTGCCCCTGCCTGGAATTGCCCCAGGGCAAGCCAGAGGGACCTGGGCCAGCAGGACCAGCCGCTATTGGCCACCCCTGGGTGGTTTGGAGCAAACCCTGCGGGTCTGGGATGAGGTTTTGTGGGAATACCTGCCGGGGGTGAGGAAGAGGAGGCAGAGCCTGGTGGTGCACCTTGCAGGTGCTGCATTATTTCCCTGACAAAGCCCCTGCTCAGCACCGGGCAGGCTCCGGGAACATTTCCCATCGGGGCTACCAGGGCTGAGCCCGGGCAGGGATGGGGCTGGGACCCCCCAGGCCTGGCCGGAGCCCCCCAGGACTGTGGAGGGTCCCTGGAGCAGCTCTGGGCTCCCCCCAGGAGTGGGACCGGGCTGGGGTAACCCCAAAACCTCCCCCCGGGGTGGTGGCGGAGTTTTGGGTTGTCCTGGAGCACCCGGAGGCTCCAAGGAGGCCGATCCGTGCTGGGGGGGGTGGTGGGGGGGTCACAACCTCCCAGCTGAGTTGGGGAGCTCATTACCCCAAATTAACGCTGCTCCCGGTTCACACCATCCTCCCCGAGCGCGGTGCCCAGGCAGGGACCCGCCTGTGCCCCCGGTGCCGCTTCTGGGGGGTGGGCAAAGCCCCCCGGGACCCTCCCCCCGCAGCCCCGGCCGCCCCCGGGGGTCAGGCCCGGAGCTGTGGAGCAAGCCCGGGATTCTGGATTTACCAGCCCTCCTCCCACTGCGGGCAGCCTGTAATTAGCCGCGCTCGTAATGAGTTTTGGGGAAGTTTGGGTGCAGCCCGCCCGTGGAGCCCTCGCTGCCATCACGCCCCTCCCTCGCTCCCCCCACGGCACCCACAAATAGCCGAGAGCTCGGGGAGCTCCGGCATCGCCCCCGCCGCTCCCGGGCACCATGGAGCCCTGGGTGCTCCTGCTCGGGGCCGCGACCGCCCTGGGCTGCGTGTCCGGCCGTGAGTTCCTGCGGGGATTGAGGGGCTGGGGGGCTGCGGGGATTGCGGGGATTGCGGGGGCTGCGGGGATTGCGGGCACCTCCTGGGAGCGCCACCTCCGCCGGAGCTCGGCTCTACTGGGGCAACTGGGATGGAGCGTGGGGGCTCCCCGGGGGATTTTCCCTGCTGGAAAACCAGCCCGGGCTGGGGATGGATCGTCCCAATTCCCTGCTGGAAAACCAGCCCGGGCTGGGGATGGACTGTCCAACCTCCCTGCTCCTCAGCCTGGCCCTGCAGTGGGTTCCTGGTGGGTGTGAGCCTGCTCCGGTCCTGCAAAGCACAGGGAACTCTCCTCTGGCTCCTCCTTCCCATTTATCCACGGAAAGCCAGCTCTGGGAATTCTCCAATCCCCAATCCCGTACCCACCTTCCCCTCTGTGGGCCCAGGGGCAGCTCAGGTGGCAAACGCAGCACGGACCGGGCTGTGCCGCCCCTCCCGAGCCCGAGGTGCCCACGAGAGGCTCAAGGTGGGCGAGGGAGAGCAGCCCCGGCTGTAAGGATGAGCTCGGGGCCACCAGGATTTGGCAGCCACGGGGCTGAGGAGGTGCTGGCAGTGCCAAATTCTTGCACAAAGCATGAACTGTGATCCACTGGCACCAAGGACAGGATTTCGTCAGCCCCGACGCCGCCAGGAGCTCGTATCTGATGTCCCAGGAGAGGATGAGTCCCCTCGGGATGAAAGATGAGGAGTTTTGCAAGGCCAGCTCACAGGAGAAGCTGCAAACCCAGCGTGGGGCTGGGAGCAGGAGTTTCCCAAACTCCCGTGTGAGTCCTGAGCTCCCAAATTTCCCGTGTGAGTCCTGAGCTCCCAAATTCCCATGTGAGTCCTGAGCTCCCAAACTCCCGTGTGAGTCCTGAGCTCCCAAATTTCCCGTGTGAGTCCTGAGCTCCCAAATTCCCATGTGAGTCCTGAGCTCCCGAATTTCCCATGTGAGTCCTGAGCTCCCAAATTCCCATGTGAGTCCTGAGCTCCCAAATTCCCCTGTGAGTCCTGAGCTCCCAAACTCCTCTGTGAGTCCTGAGCTCCCAAATTCCCATGTGAGTCCTGAATTCCCAAACCCCTGTGTGAGTCCCAAGCTCCCAAATTCCCGTGTGAATCCCGAGCTGTTCCAGAAGGAATGCCCGTGGTGAAGGTGCTGAGAAGCTCGGCTGCCCCGTGGTCAGCCCTGGCCACCTGCTGGACCTGTCTGGTGGGTCTGGAGCCTCCTCGCTTCTCCTGGCGTGGGCAGTGGGAGATTTTCCCCGACTGTCCCACGGCCGGGGCTCACGTGTGGTTTGGGACAGGAGCTGAGGCCTTGGGGAGCTCAGGCTGTCCGTAGCTCTGCTCCAGGTTAATTTGTCCCTCAAATTGTCCCTTCCGGAGCCTGGGCTGGGTTTGGATCCGCGTTTTTCTGGAGGAACGAGGGCCTGAGTCAGGCCAGGGGCTTGGGGACGCGGCTCTGGCTGAGCTGACTCATCCCCGTGCCCGAAAGCAAACTGGGAGCACTGGGAGAGCTCCGGCACCTCCCCACTGCCCGGAGGATGGAGCTGGGCAGGGAACAATCCCCTTCCCGCGGCCACAACGCCGCTTTGGCAGAGGTAAACCGAGTTTGGGAGCGGAGGGAGAGGTCTGGTCCCTGCGAAAGAGAAATATTCCTGTGCTTTGTGCAGCCAGAGAAAATCCTGGGGCAGGATCAGCCAAAAACATCTTCACTGGCTGGACCAGCCAAAAACCCCCGGGGTGGCCAAGTGTGGATGTGCCACATCCTTCTGCCCCGGGCCACCACCCCTGTGGCACTTCCAGCTCTCCCCGCAGCCCCAAAATCTCCCAAGAGCTCCAAGAGTCCCTCCTGTCCCCCCACCAGGGACAGCTGAGCGCCCTGCAGCCATTTAGGGTCGATTTAGGGATTTGGGGTCTGAGTGAGGAGGGGGAGGAGGAGCCTTTCCCTGCCCTGAGACCGCTCAGGAGTCCCGTGGCACTGGGAATTTGGGATTTGGGGTGATGCTGAGCCCGCCCCTCCGAGGGCTGAGTCAGGCTCGGGCCCTGCCGGGACACGCCGGGGCCGCTGTGACACCCCCGGGACCGGCACCGGGACGGGCTCGGCGGTGGCGGGGCAGCGTGGGCAGCTCCTGCCTTGCACAACCCCGCGAGTGCGGCTGGAAAAGGAGCGGGGATGATCCAGGGGGATTTATCCCAGCGCCGCTCTGCGATGTGTCCCGGGAATGGCGCTGGGCTGGACTGGGCAGACTGGGAGAGGCCCATCCGTGGGATGTCCCTGCCCGGGGAGTTCCCCCAGCTCTTCTCAGGGGCTTCGGGAGAACCTCGAGACCCCCCCGCTGCTAAAATCCTCCTGTTTAAAGTGGATTTGCAGGGAATGGGAAGCCAAGAGGGAAAACCAAGCCAAGGACACCCCCAGGAGCTGGGATTTGGGGGGCCGAGGGGAGCCAGGGGGTCCCCCAGGAGGGCCTGGGTGACATCACCGGGCACAGATAATCGGCGTGAATCGGGAGTTTGATGCCACCCTCCCGGCCCGGATGGCGCTGTCATGGCCCGGACAGGACGTGCCGCAGCAGGATTTGCCCCGGGGGCACCTTTCAGCCGAGTTGGGCAAAGCCGCGGTGCCTCAGCGCCCGGAGATTGCGGCTCTGCCAGGGAGGGCAACGCCCGATCCTCCGGGGCTGCGTTTGCGGGCCGGGCCGGGGCTGCTGGCACGGCCGGGCACAGGGAACACGCTGGGACAGTGCCACCCGGCCGGGACAGTGCCACCCTGCCGGGACAGTGCCACCCTGCTGGGACAGTGCCACCCGGCCGGGCCGGGGCTGCTGGCACGGCTGGGCACAGGGAACACGCTGGGACAGTGCCACCCTGCCGGGCTGGGCACAGTGCCACCCTGCCGGGACAGTGCCACCCTGCCGGGCCGGGGCTGTTGTCACGGCTGGGCACAGTGCCACCCTGCCGGGACAGTGCCACCTTGCCGGGACGGGGCTGCTGGCATGGCCAGGCACAGTGCCACCCTGCTGGGACAGTGCCACCCTGCCGGGCCGGGGCTGCTGGCACGGCTGGGCACAGGGCACGGCCGGGCACAGTGCCACCCTGCTGGAACAGTGCCACCCTGCCGGGACAGTGCCACCCTGCCGGGACAGTGCCACTCACTGGGACAGTGCCGCCCTCCCTCTGAGGTGTTTTTTTGGCTCTTTCTGTGCCAAAAGCTCCGGTCAGGAGCTGGTGAGGAGCAGGAGCTCCTTCCTTGGGGCTGTCCCAGGACAATCCCAACCCCAAATGATTTTGGTGATCTGTAATTCCACGTTTCAGCACAGGACAGTGTGAGAAACCCTTTAAAGTACAGAAATCAAAGTGGAGCCTCTGTGAAAAACACCAAATTCCATCAAAATTGGTGCTGGATAAAGGCAGACTGTTGTGTGCCTTCACATGTAACCCAAGGCTGAAATTCAGATCAATTATTTCTAAAATAATTGGTAATATAATATAAAATAAGGAGAAGAAACAAAGCAGAGGGCGTGTTTTTAAAAAACACTACCGTTTGCTTTCTACTGAATTATTTTATTTTGGGATTTTCCCAGGACAATCCCAACCCCTTGGTGACCTCCAGCTCCTCACTGCTCGGTG